GCTAATACGTCGGATGATCAACCTCTGGAAGAATTACTCTTACTCTATACAATGGCGTTAAATCACCCAGCCTTTACGTATGAACAGAAAAGTGTCTTTGGTAACATTTTCATGAAACTTCAAGAAGAGGAGACGCGGTTTAATCTTTCTAAGCCTATCACTTCTGGCAAACCTGTACAAGTAATATACAATGTCAATGCTTATTTTAATTGACTATTAGTTTCTTAAGTTATAATTGCTAATGAATAATCACTTGTTTGCAGTATTATTTACATTATGTTTTATTAAACAATCTACTTATCTTATATAATTGTCTAATAATTTACAATCCATTTTATAATCGTACAGGTAAATTTATATCGTCAAACTAAACAGGTGACTATTCGTTCATCTTTATAAAATAAAATTAAATTAGCAATTATTAGAAAAGCCATAATAAAAAATTTCTTCCAGTATTCGTATTACATATTATTGTATAGATCTATTTACTTACAGGGCTGTACACCATGTATTAACACGAATGATAGATTAGTGGATCCTGAAATGCAAAGTAGTTGCTTGATGCCGCCACCACAAATGCAAACTTATCATGGTACGTTAGTTTAGAGAAAAATACATTTATAATATATTATTAATATATAAATATTAATATTTCTTTCTATTTATTTGCAGGAGATATGTCGATGAGAAATAATCCAATGATGAGTGGAATACCGCCTGGTCTTTCTATGCCTCCACCTGGTTTATGTTTACCTACACCTGAACAAATGTCGATAGGTTCTGGAGGCACTACGCAATATCTTCATCTTGGTTTTCCATCAGTTAATCATTTACCACCATGGGCAGGTCAGGTTGTAATGGGAAATCAACTGATGTATCATGCCGGTGACATGTTGGCTTATCCACCTTCCCCTTTAGTCAGTCGTCAGTCTTCGCCATCCCAATCTCGATCTCCTAGTCGTAGTAATTCTCCAATGGGTAGAAGAAATAATGCAATGCCGCGTACATCTTCGCAAGTCACTCAGTCAACTTCTAATACTTTGACATCGACGAGTACCTGCAATAGTCAGATGAGTATCTCTAGTTCCAATGCCAGTTCCTTCCCTTTATTTCCTGCACTTGGCACCAACAGAAGTCTTCCAGCACAATCACCATTACTTCCATCGAGATCTCTTCCTTTACCTATTACTAGCACTACGAGTTTCTCTAGACATAACAGCATAGACAACAATCCTTGCACGTTAATCTCAGCAACACAATCAAAGCAACCACCACCACCACCTCCTCCACGATTAAGGTCTTCGACATCTGGAGATTCTTTAAGGGAGACATTGGGCAAAGAAATGCCAAACTTTAAAGGAAACCTACAGGATATTTCTCTTGATCAGGTAAGCTCAAGTATTCATTTATAAGTACCTAATATTTAACAACATTATAAACATTCTAATATTATTTTTACTTTCTTAAATATTTATACAAAGATGCGGAGAATGAGTGACGAAGATTTAAGAGAAATTGGATTAACTCCTAATGCTGTAGGACAATTGAGGAGTATAATTAAAAGTCAAACTACTAATGGATTGAATCAAATTACTACGGATAAGAAGCTAGACAATACTAATAATTCTGGAAATACGATGGGAGATTCTATGGAAAATGAGGTTAGTGCTTAATTTTATAAATTACAAGAATATATAGACGTGTACAGTAGTAGTATATCTTAAGAAAAATTCTAACTAGTAAAAATGATCATTTGGATCATAGGGTATGCCAGGGGTTGACATGATAAATGATGGTGGAAATCAAGGTCCCAAATCCATGTTGATGCAGGAACAACAACATCCAGCAATGCATCATCATCACAATCATGCTGTTACTCCTAATTTAAGACGTTACCCTGCTATGCCACCATTGGATCCTACGCAGATTCAAATGTATCCTGCCCCAGCTCCAGTCTACACAGCTCAAAATGCACCGTGTTATGCCTGCCTCACTGTACCCGTTGCTGGTGTACAAAATCGATATTCAAGGTAATAGCAAACTATTGTTGAATATTATTAAATTTTTACATTTCAATCATTAAGAAATAAAGGTAACATATATTTTCATTGTTTTACCTTATTTTCAGGTGCAACGCTCAACACGTTTATTGTTTAGCTCAGCTGCAAGCTTTGAGATTGGACCATGATAGCAGTCGACATTGCTCGCAGAGTAGTAGCTCCGATAGTTCCGGTAGTAGATCACCACCTGAAACACCTCCAGCAGCTCCATGGGTTGGAGGAAATGAGAGTAATACGGTACCGGTTACAGATCATCTTGGTTCTGTTCCTATGCATTCTACAGGTGGTACATCTCATCCAACACCTCAACAGCAACAACAACCGATGCAACCGCCGGAAAGACAACGCAGTAGAAAGAATCAGGCACATCTGATGCGTCATAAAAATCAAATAGTGAATGGTGGGGGACCTCCAAGCTTACCTCATTGCGTTTCCTTTCCTACACCGCCTCCGCATTCACAAGTCACGTATCTACCCCATGGGCACTTCTCTGCATTGAGGCCAAGTAGTGGTATCTACTCTAACTACTCGCATGGTCCTTATGCAAGGCCAGCTTACCCAAGCACATACCAGCCAAATGGCGAAATGATGTATCAGTTTCCTGGACATCCAGCTTCAGGAGGAACGCCGCCGCCACCGCCCAATGCTGCAGGAACGCCTGCTCCGTACATGCCACCTACGCCCGTTGTCACTTACGCACCAGCTGCTGTTCAACCTCCTAAAGTATCCTGCTATAACTGTGGTAGCAGTAATCATATCGCGATAGATTGTAAAGATCAGACTATGGAGGATCTCACGAAGAAAGGTATAGTTGCATTTCTCTTACTTTACTTTATTTCATTTATACTACGGCTAATTTATCATTCGTGGCCGTCGTTTGTCTATATATATTTATAATTGTAGGTATTATCAATTTGTAGGTAATATCAATTTCTTATGTTTCAGCTCAATATCGGTTAGATTATACGATAATGAAACAGCCCGGGGATTGTTCGAATTCTGACAAGTGATCCCCTGCTGTGGACCATTATCCCGCTATCTTTCATCGCCATCGTTATCATCATCAATTATACCATAGCGAATATCGGAGGCGTCATTATTATCATCATTGCCATTATTACAACGATCCTGCTTTTACGAACCAGTTTAAGGATCGATTAAATGACGACTGCTACAACTCTCCGTGCAAGTTTTCAGTGATTTTTCTAGACATCCTCTGTATCAAAGCCGATGAATTTTTAACTGAGGACATTTCGCGATTCACGGTACCAGGTATACTCTTTACAAGTTCTTATTTATGATAGTGATTATTCTTAAAGAAAAATAAAAAAAAACAAACAAAATAAAAAAAAAAACAAACAAATGTGCGATTGTAAAATATACGCAAAGCATGTACAAAAGGAAAGAAAAAAAAGAAGTATAATGCAAAAATGCCATATTCTTATCTGTGTTGTTAATAGGATACGTTTTCAGATGTTTTGTGTTAGGTATTGAGTCGAGTATTTCCTACCGTACCTATCAGCTACTTATCCTTAACTTACCTATCTCTCCTCCCTTTTTCTCTCGTGACTAGTAATAAGAGATATAAGCAATGAAAATAATTCAAAAATAACGTTGTGCTCTGATTAGATAAAACCATCGCGTTTGACTCTATTTACTCTATATTCATACTTTTACTTCTACTACCCTGAATCTACTGTTACTATTACTCTACTATATCAACATATTAAAATTATTCTTATCGTCATTATTACTATTATTATTTTTATTATTATTAATATTATTATTGTTATATATTTTTTTAATTATCTGTCTTATCGCTCTATCACGTCAGAATAATTTTATGCAAATGTATATTTTCACAATTCTTACGTGTAGATATTATGTGAGAAAGTAAAGCGAAAAAGTTGAAAAAGAACGAGAGAAAGGAAGCGAGAATGAGGGGATAAGTGTGTAAAAGAAACCATAAGTGTTCGATCGTCTAGCTGCTGTTGCGCTCCTGTGTGTAAAAGTAGGGACATATATATATTGCTCACTCTCTCTACTCGTTTATTAACTTCTAGATAGGTAAATAGAAAGATAGATACATAGCTATGTAGGTAAAGGTAACTCTTTCATCCTAATTATATAGTCATATAATCACATGTGCAACTTAAGTAATTTTATACGACTTTTATTGATTGATCATGTTTTGTAAATTAAGTGCAGTGTAGTTACACACACATACAAACACACACACACACACACATACGCGCGCGTATATATATATTTAGGTTTTCATAGTCAATAAATATTACGATAAATAAATAAATAAATATATATATATATAGAAATATAGAAATACAGAAATATAAATATGTACTAATATTAGACATGAGTGGAATGGCAATATGTGTTATAGCTGTGTTGTTAATAAGTTACTATTATTTGCATTTAAACAAACTCAATCTTTTACATTGACTATCATTGTCATAAGTCTCATCGTCGTCATCATCGTTATTATTAATAAATGCCAATTATATCTGTGGTTTACACAATTAGGCAAAGAATAAATATCGCTAAGCGCTTTATTTTCTTTTTATAGAATATCTTCAAGTTTTCTTTGCCGTTTTAAAATAATTTCAAATACGTTATGACGATTCACGTGTTAAAAAATAATTTTGAGAGAAAAAAATGTAAAGTATATTAGAAGGATTAATAATGGCATATGCTATTACAAGATCTTGCGCATTTATCTTTCTTTTTCTTCTTTAATATAACATTTGCCCAAGTTTCCAGCTAAATCTAAAGATTTTGTTATTTTCTTTTTTAATTATTATTTATTTTTCATTCTTGGTGTTTCGAATCTTGGCAACTAGTCAGACTATGTAAAAAGAGTTTGCCAATTCTTGGACATTAGACTTTATTTTGTACTTTTTATCGATAAATTTGATATATGTTATGCTTACTGGTAGAAGAGATAACAAAATAGATAATTATTGTTTTTGATTTTTGGATATAATTTTTTTTCCTATTTTTTTTTGTGTTTATTTTAAAATTTTTATTATATATACCTTCCATTTTTGTTTTTTCATTTACTCATAAAAAATGATTTTGATAGAAAACTAAATGATAAGATTTACGTACAGAAGAAACGTAAAGCTCTATCAATTGTAATATTTACAATATAGAAAATAGGACGATGTGTTATGATCTGTTTAGTTTTATGTTGCTTTTGTTTTTTTTTTTTTTAATTCTTTGTATTTGAATAATGGATATAATTACAGAAAGTTTCATTTAAAATAAAATTAAACTGATTGATTTCTTATGCTGAGAACAAAAGTACAAAGGTAGCAAAAGTTGTAAAGTAATGCATTTCGACATACTAATTCATTGTAAAAGATTATAATGATTCGTTTAATTTAATTGACTTTATTCTACTATATATGTACATATATATGATACAAAATACTTTTTAATGGGTCGTTTGCGTAATATGATAAAACAGACTATATATGTTTATAATACAATATTTACTATTAATATCTATAATATATCACGATCATGACACAGTCGTACTTTTTCTAAAAACTATTAAAATTATAAGCAATGAATGTGTTATTATCCCTATTAATTGTTATTCATTGTAAATTTTTCTTTTTGTTTTACAAACGATTTTTTTTACAATAAGATCAAAAACTCGAACACATTTAAATGAAATGTATCATTTTTATGAACATTTATTTTTTCGTAATATGAACACAATTTTATCAAAGACAAGAAAAATAAGAAAATATTCTTTTATATATTTCTTCAGTTCAAGTTGTTTACAATCATAAATACATGCTACATCCATATTTATGTTAATTATAAAGTAATAGACAAAAATGTTATATATTTGTAAAATTCATATTTTCCAAACTATTATGAAATAATTAAACGAATAAACACACATATACACAAACACACACACATCAATCAAAATCAGGAGAACAGCAGAAATGAGCTTCGTTTTTATTTCCTTGTCGACCATTTCTGTAGCACATATAATTATTTATAAAAAGAAAAAAAAAAAGAAAAAAAAAAGGAAGGAAAAGATGATGCACAGAGCTCTCATTCCGAACAATTTATATATCTAATTGTACCGTACTGTAAATTTAACAATGATTGACTAAACAAGAGAAGAGCTATATATATGTGGATTTTGTAATTTGACGGCAGTTTATCTATTAATTAACATACAGATTAGTTTCATGTTGAGTAATAATATTTCTGATAAAGCAATAGTAATTAATAGAAACACAGTGGACTTTATTGCTGTTTATTAAAAACATTAAAATATCAAAGACCTAGTCAGATTATTAAAACTTTTAATGAGAATTATTAATTATTATAATAATGATGATAATAATAGTAATATAGTAATAATATCATGACGACGATATTTTAATAATTACGATATATATGTTTACGATTAGTTATCTGTGTATAAAAAATTACATTAAATTAAAATAAAATATGTTAAAAATACATACTTATTCTTAATGATTATACAATATTTCGTAACTGTAATGTCGAATGCATTTTTATAGCTCTTATTATAAGTATAAAAATACTTATTGATAAACAGCAATAAGGGTGACGTGTGCGCCTTTCTTTTGCCGTTCATGGAAAATAATTGTAAGTGAAGCCAAATTCAAATCGATAGAAAGAAAGGGAAAAATTTTGATTGACTGTTAATTATTAAAATTATAACTTTTTGTTCCTCCTATGACCTCATATAATCATTGACTTATATAAGACATGCTTTATTTTTTAACTTTGCAATATTGCTCCATTGTATTTTTGTTAAAAATTTCCATGGATGGTTTTAAACTTTAGCATTTTAGAAGCGGAAGATTACTTAGCAATAGACTCGAGAAATAACTTTTTATATTAGCGAATCTTTTTAATTAACTAAATGTCAATAAATGTTCATAGACACAAACATATATATGGAGACATATATATACATACATATATATATATCAAGAAAATAAGAAGAATAAGAGAAAAGTTATGGGATCATACAATTTTGTCGTTGGTCGAGTTTGTATAAATCGTTTAAAAGAAAATATTAATAACAGTATTACACCTAAAAACAAAGGGAGTCAAATGTTATGAAAATCATATCATCTACAGATAGAGAGAAAGAGATAGAGAGGCGAAAGGAAGCCAAAGGGTGGTAATATGAAAAATGATATAGTAAATATTATTATTATTATCATCATTTCAGTGAAGAAGAAAGGCAAAAATAAATAAATGAATGATAGCCGATAATTATAACAATGAAATATATATTGCTTTTCTATAAATAGAACTGTAATGTTTTTTTCCAAAATTTTTGCTCGTTTGTAAAACATATAAAAAAATAAAATGATAGACGCAGTTAAGCAAGAGAGAAAGAGCCTTATATTTAAGATTTAGATATTTAAAATATGAAATGATGACAAAATGGGTTATTAAATGCATTGCCTTGATTACTTTTACATCGTTTCTATACTTTCTAATATAATTTTCTCGTGCTGTTGATATTTTGAATGAATAATTAAGTGATAAAATACATACATACATGCATACATACATACGTGGGTGCTATTAGAAACTTCAACAATACAAATTTAAGAAGAAGAAATTTCCTTGTCCAACGATCGTTTTGTTATCGTACATACATATACTCTAATCGTTATCTTATTCTTCATACAAATAATATATGTACATATATGTCTTACACATCCGTATACGCACGCACGCGCACGCACGTACACATACAGATAAATTACATAGATACATACTTATATATAAATAATTCACATTTATCATTTTTATACAAAATAGCAATGTGAAAGATATTAATAACAAAAAGAAAAAAAGAACTGTACTTTTTACAATATAACTATTATTAATAATGACAAATTAACGATGCAAGTTGAAATTGGAGCAATATATGTATATGTTTAATATAATAATATATGAGCCACTTATTTGCAAACTCGATTAACTTCACAAAACAAAAAGTACAGAAAATTGATAAAGTAATATTATCGTATCATTTATTATTGAAGGATTATAAAAATTTTTTTTATTTAATAATGTTAAGCCTGATTAAGAAAATTGATTTTAAATGTAAAAAGTGGTGGTGTTAATCGAGATTTAGCCTGTAAACTGTTCATATATACATACACATAGACATCGAAAATACACGCTGAATTAATTCTTAAATCTTTTTTGACATACATATATACACACAGGGGTGTAATTAGGCAGTAGGAAAAAAAGTCATTTGTACAGAGAACATTTAATTCGAGCATACATTTTTGAAATATATATATGTATCTACAGATATATACACATTCAAAGCATACACATCATGCAACCATTATTTCTCGATGTTGTTATCATTGGCATGGTGACTTAACGCGATAATAAAAATTACAATGATAAAGATGAGAAAGAGAGAGAAAGAGAAAGAAAGAGAGAGAGAGAGAGAGAGAGAGAGAGAGAGAGAGAGAGAGAGAGAGAAGAACAAACATATACATCATTGCTCTCTCTATATAGCAATATATATATCTATTTAACATATGTATCGATATCTCAAGAATAAAGTAAGGCGAAAAAAATGCAAAAATATTGTTTATGTTCGAATGATCACACAAAATCGACGTTTTACGAAGACAATATGTGCTTAAGAAAAAAAAAATTTAACAGGAAAAAAAGAAAAAAGCGAATAAGAGCCAAATATATATACGAGGAAATTTAAGAATTGTTCTTATCGAAAACAGGTGATTGAAAGGAATGTTGTTTTTAGGAGAGGAAAATTGGTAGTGGCTCGAAAATGTGTGCTATAGTATATTAAATAAAATTATATTCAATTAATAATAATGATAATAATAATAATAATAATAATAATAATAATAATAATAATAATAATAATAATAATAATAAAATTAATTAATTGTGAGAGAGAGAAAGAAAAAAGCATGAGTGATATATATATAGAGAGAGAAAGAGAAATATAGTACGTGTGATATTGATGTAAAATAAAGATAAAAAGAATAAAAAATACAAAAAATACAAAAAAATAAAAGATGAAGTACTGCAACGAACGCAAGGACTGATTTAAAAAAAGGGCCGTAACAAATGGGCACTTATGCTGCGCGGATATATATATATATATATATATATATGTCTGATTTTGTGCGTTATTTCTTTAAGGAATCATTGTGTGTGTCTGTGTGTGCATGATGAAAATTATAAATCAAAGAGAATTTTCTCTGTTTGCGATGATGACATTTCTCGTGCGACTCCATGTCATATGTACATAAAATATACATATATATATATATATATATTATATATTAGACATTACGAATGGATATACATGGATACAAGTATGGAAAGAGAGAGTAAGCGAGGGAGAAAAAGAGAATAAAGTAAATAAAAATATGCGTAAGGGAGAGATGATAGTAATTTCGAAAGGTGTTTGTATGTGTGAATCGCGAGAATGATTAAATGTGAGTTCTAAAAAAATCATAAACGCATGCACGTATGAGTATATGCTTATGTGCGAAAGGAAAATTTAAAATGAAAAAAAAGGGGCAGAGAGAAGTATACATACAAATATGTGATGTGTATATACATACTGTATATGTATATATACATGTGTGTGTGTGATACATATATGTATATGTATATTATATATCATATATATGGTATATATATGCATGAAAATATTGAGATATATTTGTAAATTCTGTTATTTGAATGCATTATAAATATTTTAACCTCCTGTAATGAAATATTTAATAAAAAACGTTACCAACCAAATGCGATACTTTTGACAGATCTTCTTTCTTTTTGTATAGATAAATTCTTCTTTTAAACATATCATGTAGTATTTCTTGTAGGATTACGAAGAAAAAAATATTAATCGCGTCGACATTTTTTTCTGATAATGAGATATTTGGATTATTAGTAGAGACGGTTGCTACATTGTCTTTTATTTCGTGTAAATATGTAATAAAAATGAGTTCTTTCATTCCCCCTTTCGAAGTGCTTGATAATTCCATTTCTTTGGCACACACATGTAAGAACGTATAAGCTCATCGTAAGCTCTGTGCTAATACGAGACTTTGTTTTGCTCCTATTTTCAAAAGTATTCAAATAAATATTCCATTTGGTTGCAAAACAAATTTTCTAACGAAGGAAATAGATTTTGATATTTGATCATAGCCATTACTAAGGAGATAAAAGAATACTCAAGTGGAAAAATGAAGAGACTTTTGGATAAAAAGTAAACTAGAAGGAAGGATTAAGTTAAAATAGAGTCTAAATGAAAATTGTCTAGGTCTAATATGTCAGATTTAATTCGAAGACGATGGAATAACGAGGAGGATCATCGTCGTCTAAGAATCTTCCAAAAGGAGGCGTCGCTTTTGATGAACGAGAATAAGAGTGGGATTGTGCTCGATCGAAACGACGTGCGCCTGAACGGGGGTTGAAAGAAACGAGGACGAGGGGTGCGAACGGCTAAAAGGAGGAAAGAAAGAGATAATAGAATATAAGGGTAGAATAAAAGGGGCAGGAAGAGGGAATGAGATAAAAGAAAAAAAGAAAAAAATATAAAAGAACAATATGCATATAAAAAATAAAAAATAATGTGTTGAGATGTATAAAGTATAAAAAATAAGTAGAGAAGAGATTGCGCGTCTGCGCATCCAGGATTAGGGGAAGGGGGCGCCTTGAAAAGCTCCGAGGCAACTCCGTACCGAACCGCTCAATATTCATCCCTTGGTAGCCGGCCGGACGAGAACGGTACTACTACTTCTTCATCGTCGTCATCTTTTTCTTCTGCTTCGACCCTATTCGAATCTAACGTTCCTCCCTTGGCGTTCTCTTGGAGGAACTTTAACAGAAAATATTTATCTTTTCATTTAACGAAAAATGGAAGGGAAAAAAGTCGAACAGTATTACAGTCCACCGCCAAAGCTTGGTAAATGGGAAGGCTTCAGGCTCTTTCTGTATAATTCGGAAACAGGACAATTTCTTGGACGTACTGGTGCAAGTTGGGGTAAGTTTTCTTCCTATCCAATGGAATATCATTTCAAATATATATTAATATAGAATCGCTAATATTCGAACAAAGTAAGAATATAATATTGTGAAAATTATAATCGTGAGATTTTCTATCTCGGTCCCCTTCACCATTTTGGAAAAGCGGTTGTTATGTAATAGCTCCCTTCTTTCTTCTATCTTTCAACTTAATGTTTTAACTTAAAACATGAAATATCTACATAATTTTTCATTTTTTATAATAGTTAATATTATCATTCTTTCTCTCGTCTTGTTATTTTTCTTTAACTTTTTGTGAACAAGAGTTCACAATTGAAATTCTTCACGCTAAAAGGAAATATTGTAGTTATCATAACGTTCTACTATCATTATATCCTGTTCAGATAAGGTCACTTTTATCGTTTTATTGTACCACTACAATGGTATTATTTCTCTTGAATATTACGTAGAAACAAGATTTTGGCATTTAACAGATCCATAGTAGCTTTAGTCTATAGAAACTATATAGGTAGGGCGGTGACTCTCTCTGGTTACCCCTAGTGGCCCATTTTACTGGTTGCGGCTTTACCTACGACAAAAATGAACGAACTGAATCGATCCTATTCCGCTTCTTTTTAAATATATGCATGCATTACAATCATAAAAGAGAAAATAAAGAGGATCAAAATAAATGTATGAAATATTTTTAAATATAAATGTTCGAATACAAGGACGAATTTAAAAATAATTCGTTATTAATTAATATATATATATATAGGTCAATTGAAAAGCGGCCTGCCCCTTATAGACCTCTAACGAGCAACGTCGTCATTTCATATCAACGTTTATTATTATCGACGCTTAATTATAATTATTAGACGCGTCTCGACTTGTAATCTTTCGAATTCATTAAACGTGATTTGTCAATGCACGTTTAAGGATTTCTACATTGAAATTGTTCGTCGCATTTTGACTGTTATATCGAACGTTTCATTGAAATTACAATTTTGTCACGAAATTTCGGGTGTTTTTTTGTTGATTGTGCGTTACAATTCTGTAGAATCATTCTTATCGTAGGTCGTTACGTAATAGTACTAGCGTAATATTACCTTCTATAACAATCTGTCATAACGAAGCAATCGATTCTAAGCAATTGTGCTCTAATACGAGATACATATATGCAATCGTTTCTGATTTTTCATCGGAATATATTTTTGTCGACAACAAAAATTATTCTCGGATTGAAAATGTACGGATTGATCGTAGGACCACGACGACATTTAACGATGTAAATCGTTTAATAACACGCGAGAACGTTCTAATTCGATTCGATTTCATTCTTACTCTCTTTCCCATCGAATCTTTAAATACATCTAGCTTGCCGAAGTATAAGTATCAAAACTTTAACTAAAATCCGAATAACAATGATTTCAATTATTATCTAAATATATAATCATTTTTGATGCTTCAAAAAGAAAAGAAAAGAAATAATGCATTGTGTAAATGACAGATGCAACAAATGATAGACCTATCATATAGAATGAACATTTATTGCGATTGGTTTGATCTTTTGCATGGAAAGAAAAAAGAAGAAAAAAAAGAGAAATCTCGTTGGATGGTATATTAGGACGGTAACGATTAAATTTCGCGGCTTTTCAAGATATCGATTAACTTTGTGCAGAAGCACGGCGCCGTCGCAGACCTAGAAAAGTCACCGGTGCGTTTCTAAAGTGGGTCATTGGTTTTGTGTTTATATTCTTTAAGCTTCGTCTTATTAAATCAAAGAGCATCCGATTCTATTTTCGGAGAATTCGGACAGATCTCGTATTCATCATTATTAATAAAATAATATTGTTTTAGAAAATCTCGTATTCATCATTATTAATAAGATAATATTGTTTTAGAAAATGTTTGAGAAACCTCGGTGAATTCGCGATCGCTTACAGAATGATATCGAGAGCATTGCGCAAACTGTAATATTTCTAAAGGATAACACTTTTAATTAGAGTGTTTCGTAATATATGGGATCCACTTGAGGAACGAATAAAATCAATGAAAAAACTTCATAAAAACATAAAGTAATATATTATTTTCTATCCGATTGTGTGCGTGCTCAAAGTTACAAGTGCATAATTACCCTTTTTATTTCATTTCATATATTGTTGTTATACATGATATATATTGTTATACAACAATATATTCGACAATTATTTCCAGCATCGAAGAACTTCGAACGCGTATACTACGAAAAGACTATCAACGATTTCGATAGATGTAGGAAATTTTCTAAATATCGCGAAATTTCATGATACAAGTGCTGCTTATTTCTAGTACCTTTGAGAGAAAATCTAGTAAAGACAAGTGCTTATAGACATTTTTTTCATTGCTACTCTTTAAATGGGTTCCACAGATTGGGAAATATAATTATAATCAATTAATTATAATCAATTCGATCAATCAAACTTACTTTTGATGAAATTGATTTGAGAATTTTCGACGGAATCTCGTATACGATTAAATAATACAACATCGGATATAGAAAATGTTCCGAATGGAAAATATCGAAGACGTACGATTCTTATTGTCAGAACAGAAATGCGCAGCATACATTGCTTACACAATACTAATTCAGGTCAATTACTCGTCAGATAATAATTGCCTTTGTATTTCTCTATTCGATCTCTGACCATGACATCTATGATGATATGATTAATGTTCGACTGCGAGAGTGTCACGTCTGACCATATATCACGTCACAAATATATATTTAACGAAAAAAGAAAAAAGAAGCAATAAAAAAGGTAACATTAATCAAATAGCAACGTTTGATTTTGTAGGATCGAAAACGAAATGCGTGTCTACGTACGGTATTGTTCGACATTGTTCGACATTGTTAGACATTTTTCGATATTTTTCGATAAACACTTATAGATCATTTTTGGTAACATTTATTTTAGCCAAGATCCTTCTATTCTACGTCCTATTTTACGCCGTACTATGTGGTTTCTTCGTCGCCATGTTGGCCGTCTTCTACCAGACGTTAGATCCAGAAGCACCGAAATGGCAACTGAACAGTTCATTGATTGGTACCAATCCAGGATTAGGTTTCCGGCCAATGCCACCTGAAAGTAATGTCGAGAGTACTCTAATCTGGTACAAAGCTAGCGACGAAGGTAATTTTCTTCATTGGACCAAAGAATTGGATGCATTTCTGCAAGGTAAGCTATTATTCTAACTACCCTTTTAGAGTAGTTCTAATCTCTTTAACGAAAAAGGTTGTTCTGTTATAACTAACTCTATTACGGTTCTGTCTATATGTTTAGAATACCAAAAGGATGGAGCGTCTGGAGTTGACGTTGAACAAAGAATTCACTGCGATTATGGTAAACCCGTGCCAGCTGGTAAAGTTTGCGACGTTGATATGAGCCAATGGGGACAATGTACGAAAGAGAAGAAATATGGGTTCAACAAATCGGCTCCTTGCATTTTTCTCAAGCTAAATAAGGTTTGAAGAAAAATTAACATTTTGTTTTTCGACGCAATTAGATGAAAATGTATCTCTTTTATAGATCTTTGGATGGATGCCAAATTTCTATAACGACACTAAAAACCTCCCACCTGGTATGCCGACTGATCTTCGAGATCATATCAAGAAGGAAGAAAGTGCTCAAAGTCAAAGACTAGACACTGTTTGGGTATCTTGTGCCGGAGAAAATCCAGCTGATATTGAAAATATGGGTGCTATTCAATATATACCACGTCGTGGATTTCCTGGATATTATTTCCCATTTACAAATACACCGGGTTATCTAAGCCCTCTCGTTGCTGTCTTCTTTGAAAAGCCTAAATGTAAGTCGAAAAATGATGAACATTTGTTATCCAATTAAATGAAAATATACGTTTAACTGCTGTTAATCTTTTAGACGGTGTATTAATCAACATCGAGTGCAAGGCCTGGGCGCACAACATAATACACGATAGATATGAAAGGCGTGGTTCCGTACATTTCGAATTGATGGTGGATTAAACGTCGTCTATTGGTTATGGCCTCTAAGAAGACTATTACCAACAGCGTCCAACAGTGAGAGAGCGAGAGAGAGAGAGAGAGAGAGAGAGAGAGAGAGAGAGAACAAAATAGGAAGAATGAAAAAGTGAGAGAGAAAGAAAATAGGATAAGTGTTTACTTTTAAAAATCAATTTCATCGGGCCGTTTTACAATACTGACAATGAGCGCGCATCCTTTTCCTATTTATATTGTTTTAGATCTTCTAAACGAGCCTCCCTACCACCGTCCACGAAACTAATAATTCCTGTTGTTTCTTCTCGTTACACTGTCATTGTGCCATTCGTTGTTGTTATCTCTCACCGCCTAGTTCCTTATCACCGCCACCATCTCACCATCGTGTTCACGAAGGATTCTGTCTCTTAATAATTCCATCCTCTCTGTTTACGTAGATCTCTCTTACGAAAATCGTTTCTTTACAAAAGAGATCATTAATTAAGAAACACGTTTGCTCGTCGCGAAAGAGAAAAAACGTTATCAGAGAATCTCATCGTTCTAACTGGAATGCACAAAAAAGAAAGAAAGATAAAAAAATCAAAGATCTCGCAGCGTTATTCCTTCATTTATTTCAAAAGAAAAGACAACAAAATTGGCTAATATATTTTTAAGTATTATACGAAAATATTTTTATTTATTTATTTATTGTTGTTATTATTATTATTATTATTATTATTATTATTATTATTATTATTATTATTATTATTATTATTATTATTATTATTATTATTAGTGTGAATTGGATTTTTAATGAAACGTGTGAGTCAACGCGTACAAAGGTAGATTTCGCGTTTAAAAATTTGCACGAATTATTATGTTCAGATATAATACGACATTGTCTCATTTTTTTGCTATTACTATCTTTTTGTAAGAAAAGAAACAAAACAAAAATAACAAGAAAAGCTTCAACGATTTGGTCCGTTTGAAAGCTTGCGAATCGAATCGATGTGTATGATAACGTGACTACCTGTTGAGATATAAAGAGACATTATTAAACCGAGCGAAGATGTCCTGAAAAGTTGTGTCTGAAAAATATTTATAAATATTATACATACATATATATATATATATATATGTTCTTTGTTATATCGCGTTAATTAAATAGTTGTTATCAATTTGGCACTACTCTTATCACGCTAAACAAAAAATTATATATCAAAGAAGGAACGTTTATATTAGAGAGCCAAATGACAGTGAGAACGAAAGAAATAAAGAAGACACTTTAGAGTGTCCCCATTTTTTTGCTGGATCTAATTTCAATGAACAAATTCTCTTCTCTTTTTCGTCATGAAAACGACACGCGTGCGTTTAAATATTAACAACAACAACAATAATATTAGAGGAATAGCGATGTGATCGGATAATATACGAAGTACATAAACTTTCACTTTGAGATTATATTACGTATCACATAAAAACTATCTATATTGTTAGAGTCACTATGCAAATGGTAAAAGAAAAATAAAATAGGAAAATATGCAAAATCTTAGGGATTGTGTGAATTGTAGAGAACAAATTTATATTATTAAATTAATATCTGCTTAAGAGAGAGAGAGAGAGAGAGAGAGAGAGAGAGAGAGAGAGAGAGAGGATATCTTCGTTCGTTCCCAACATCCAAGAACCTAATATGCGAAGATCGAAAAACTAACAAACAGAAAAGAAAAAAAATAATAAAAAAGAAATAAAATAAAATACAAATGATTTCAATCGCTCGATCGCAAGCTGATATAAATAAAAAATGTATTCCTATAAATCTCGTAAATATTTATAAAAATTGTTTTATGATACTTAACGCGTACGAATATGTAGTTAAGAAAAGTTTCTCCTTCGTGTGTCTTTGTAGCTGATTATAATTATAGAAAAGAAAAAAGAAGAAAAGAGGTTAAAAAAAAAAACAAAAAAATGAAGAGGGAGAGAGAGAGAGAGAATAATAACACTTCGTTGTCCCGAAAGAAATTCGTTTGCCTGTCTTGAACGAACGGATCCACTTGATTATATTATTATTATCATCTCACTCTCGGCTTATTTTGTAATCAGATCTTTTCTCGCTTTTTGTAAATCTCTTTTACGAGCGCGTCCTGGTCTCGATTCCAACTGGGAGTGTGATATCAAAAAGAATCAGGAAAAATGGTGTATAAGGGTGGCCCGAAAGTCCTTAAATGGATTCTACCAATCAATTGAATTTTTTTTTTTAATCTCTAACATTCCGATCGATTTGTGAAATCATTTAGGACCTTTGGCTTACCTAAAGACGTTTTTCCATATCCTGTACTTATCGTTTTTTCAATATTTCTTTAGAGCTTGATTGATTGATTGATTGATTGATTGACCGAAGTTAATAATCGTAATTAAAATCAAGAAGAAATACATAATACTAAAATTAATTAATAAATTAATAAATAAGAAACGGAAGAAAAAGAAGAAGAAGAAGATAAAAAAAAAGAAAAGTTTAAACGTAAAACGTATGCTGCCATATGCAAAAAAAAAAAATAAAGATCAAACACATATATAATCGACAATTGTTTTGTTACATACGCAAACAATACAGCACACACATACACACACACACACACACACAAAGTCTACTTACATGCGACTTTAAAAATTATCTTCTGTGATTTTCAAATTTCGAACAGAAGTTTAATTATAGTCGGCAGTGATAAATATGTGTAACCAGAAGATAACAAATAATCTAATTTAATTAGGCATCTGTGCGTGCCGATCTGAAGTGATAATATTATTAATCGATTCTTAGTCATTAATATTTGAATTATGCTTTGTCAATATATGAAAAATTATTAGATTATCATGGACACTCGATGTGAAATAATTTCATTTAAAAATACAAACAAGTACAACCAACATACATGCATACAAATATATATAATTGGCTTATTCGATGTCCATTTTCAAATACTAAGATTTCTTCCATCCAAATGGGACTCACATACTCGTTTCGAAAATAATCGAGTTTTTAACGGGCAACGAAGAAGAAGGGTACAACAATGCACGAAACTTTTTCGTTGTATGTATAATTCCGATATTTATTGTCATTACTGATCGATCTCATGCGAGACACTTTTTTTTTTCTTCTAAGATAATAAAACTAACTTAATTAATCAGCGATTAATTAAGAAGAGAATATATATTTAATAATAGTTCAGCTTATATCGACGCAAATGAGAGAGAGAGAAAGAGAGAGAGAGAGAGAGAGAGAGAGAGAGAGAGAGAGAGAGAGAGAAATGGTCGTGAAAAAGTAATAAAAAGACAAAAAAAAATAAGAAAGAAAGAAAAAAAACTCAAATGTTAGGATTATAATATAATGTACTTAAGATTAAAAAATAAATGAATAAAAATAAAACTAATACACATGAACACACACATACAGAATATAGAAGAAGAGATATGATGTGAACATAATAGGCAACGCAACATATATACATAAACTGCATACATATATATACATAATGTCATACCAAAGATAAAACGTACATAAAATTGTAGCTCTTACATATCCCCGTTAATTACTTATGTACTTATATAAGAACATGTCGTAATAATACTAACAATAAGGGACATACTTATCGAAGGCAATATACGACGAATTTCATTCCTAACAATAAGAGGGATTAATAATCGAAATTTTCTTCATTGAATACGATTTGTGAATGTGTAAAACATTTTTATGTATATATATAAACGCTGCTAGATTGATCATCTTTTTTTTCAAAACAATAAACATGCATAAATACACATATACATATATTCGTGCGTATATGTTAGTCCGTGTGGAAAAATAAGAAACGGGAAAAAAATTCACATTTTTGTGTAAAATCAACATTTAGACTTTTCTTCGATAGAAGATATCAGCCAGGACGTGCTATTTATTATTAATTTCATTATTATTATTACGCTCATTCATTTTTTTCGAAATCATACTATTTACATGTAATCATTCGTTTACGCAATATCAACGATCAAAAATGATCTTTGAAAAAATAAATGCAAGTGTCAAGCACCGATATAAAAGTAAAAAAAAAAAAATATTGTTTCATTGAAATTATTCAAAAGAAAAGTATCTAAAGTAAGTACATACGTATGTCATAGACATCTTCGTTTTCACTTATATTCAATATTTATATTTAGATTTCTTTTTCTCTCTTTTTATATATAATAACGTTATTAATAATAATTTACCATTAAAGCATGATATTGAAAAATTGAAATTTAATGACAAGCAGAAGAAAAATATTCTTCGATTTTGTTTCAAAATACCTGCCTATATTTACGGTGTCCACATATTCATACTGTATTGTAAAATTATTTAAAAAGAAAACGTACCTTATATTATTTTAACCCTTTGCATTCGAGGCCTTTTTCGCTCGGGCGAACCAGCAACTTGAGACGATTTTCCGCAAATTTCCTAAATTTTTAAGACATCTGTTAAACGTTAAGCTCTGTATTGTTGTTTTGTGTGGTATTTTATAAGGAAAATTGCATCTTTGGCTTGTCAGGGCAAATAACACCACATTACTATATGTGCTTTGGTGTCTCTCGTTAAGAGCAAACCATGCAATCCTAACAGGAGTTGGGACTCCTGCTGTTAATGTAACACGTAGCTTCTCATTCGATTGGATTACATCAAAACTGCAGGTCGAAATAGAAGCTCGATCCCGTGTCTGGCAACGCAGTACACGCATCATTTTTTCATTCTTTTTTTCTCTTAAGTATACTTAACAACTTTTACCTCGTATTCGTTATTTATTTCTTCTTTTTTTCAATAAGGAAATTTACATTTGCTACAGTTTAAATAAAAATATACCTAAAAAGATTTGTACTAAAAAGTTGAACTCTCGCTACTACTCGCGACAATTTGTTAGAAATTAGAATTATTATCTACTTGTAACTCTCGTTACTAGCATTTATAAAATATTCCTTTGATATTATACATACATACTTGGAACGAATAATAAAATGAATCATTCCAAATGTTTTATTGTAAAATCCGTCATAAAATTGCTAAATAGACGGTAATATTATAGTTGTAATATAATAATTACGTTATCTCATTCTCATTATATACACTCACGTATATGTTATCATTTATTTGTAAAATCGGAACTTTGAACGTCGTTAGCATGTTTGGTTCGCTTTTAATTACTGTGTTTAATGGCAGTCCTAATGTAATTATACAATTTCATATTAGGATTGAACCTATAGAACGGAAAAGCAATTGGATATATTAATTATGTAATTTGCATTAATATACAATATATACAATTATAAATAGATTTAATTAGTCTAAGAGTACCCAATTATATGACACGAGAATAAAATCATCTTTATGTATAAAAAGTTACGTGACTATTGCAATGTAAATTTTTATCGAGTTACGTAACACGGATATAGTTCTATATCGTGAAAGCAGTGACAAATAGGTAAGTAAAAATATTTTGTAAATTTTCATATTGCATATTTTTCCTTTCCTTGTTTTCTTTTAAAAAAAAACAAACATTAAGCATTTTTGTCGTGTCTTTATAAAAATCCAGTAATTATAGGAACCGAACAGGCTAACTTATGTTGAAGTACAATTTGTTTTTCCAATAAAAAGATTAGAATATTGGAATAATAGAAGATTAGAAACAGACAAATCAATTTGAATTTGAGATTAACTGTTACTTATAAATATTCTTCATATATATGGTCATATGAGTTATTTTAGTATAACGCAAATTGATAAAAATAATCTAAACAACGATAGTCTCTCTGCACTATTATAAACATTGTTGGAAATTGACATATTGATTTATTCATAAAATTGTCATTTTTTTCTTGCTTCGTTTATCCTATTCCAAACGTGCTTCTTATTATGCATTAAAACCAAGAAACGAAGGAATTTTTCAATGAGAAACATCAAAGACAATCCTTTGCAGATTCATCTTCTCCATAGGCTTCGGGCAAGACAGTGGCTTGGCCACATACCATATCAGAGATATTAATAGCTTTGACCGGATTTCCAAAAGATTTAGCGCACACGTTAAAATCTCCACCAAGTTCATTTTTTCCTGAAGATTGTTGCCAAGAAGATGGCATTTTAATCATGGATATGTTGTCACCAGCAGTGCTGCTGTTAATACGAGAGGATACGTATGTTGCCGTTGAAGTTGATAATAAATTTCGTGTCTTATTAAGATCTACCAAATATTCCTAAAAAAAGATAGAACAGATAAAAAATAAAATAATATTGGATGGATTTACAAATCCTTGCTTCACACGTTTAAATGTTTAAATAAGACAAGGAATATACCTTCTCTGCGTTATAATCCATATTAATCGAATCAGGAATAATTGGATTTTGTTGCGTATTACCTGCTTGACTATTAATGCTATTAAAAGCTATTAATGCTTTTTGACTTTCCCTTGCATCCACTAAGAATATACTTTCCTTAACATCTTTTGAATTATATACGTCCATTCTAAAACAAACGAACAAACAAACAAAAATGTGTTATTTTATTAATATTAAAATGACTATATACTACATATATTCCAATATACGCTAGAGTATTCATTAAATTTACTAACTTATCATATATAACTGCGTGTAGACCAAGTTTTTTAAGGTGACGAATAGTATCTGTATCGTTATTATCATCGCCCCAACAGAAAATAATTAAACCAGCGTCTTTTACTAATTTGACTTGAGAAGGATCTCTAAGAATATCCTCGGTATGCACATTAATTCCTAAAATATCAGACGACAATGCGTGTCTTATAGCCATTGGTATTGTCTGGCATCTGGGATCGTGATACGTTGGATATTTCGTAGTTACACCTTGAGTTAAAAATACTACTGGATATTTGTTTTGTTTCAAACGTATCATAGCACAAATATCAGGATTGAAGGATGAGAAGACTATTTTCCTGTCGCCTCCATACTCCAAAACAACTTTCAATATAATATCCAAATACATATTAAGATCGAATGGATGATTGAGCTCGAATGTACCATCCTATTGAAAATAACATGTCTTATTAACGTGGTAATATAATCATTTTCAAATAAGTCTATTATTTTGTTTATAAACATATTGAACCTTTAACTGCATAGTCCATTTAATTTCAATATTGAATCCAACATGTGGCTCTAACTCGAGAAGTACACTTTGAAGAGTAGGAAATGGTTGATGGTCTTCTAGATCTTCATCAAAAAATCGAGCAATTTTTTCTCTACCTTCAGCCACGTGGTAAACCTATAAAAAATATACGTATCCGTTAAGAGAACAATTGAATTATAATAAACTCTTGAGGGTGCTATTCTTTATTATTGAATTCGTGAACCGAGCATCAAATAAATGATTTGCAAGAAGATATTTCTTTGAAAGCATCATAACATACCCCTTGTAACATTAGTAACATGCTATGGTAAAAGTGGCTGTATTCCTATGAATGATTTTAATAAATATCATTTATATTTTAATACACATTAAAAGGGGTGAAACTGGTAAATGTGTGATTATTCAAAAGCGATCGACTTGTCGAAGTAACTTTATGAACAATTCATTTTGCTAATGTTGCCTTGACAATGAGATATTTTTATATATCTTTTAAAATATGATTCGTGATGAAACTTTTAATATTTCTTTTTTTATATTTACGACAGTAATTGATCTATATTATAGAAAATGACGTATAAACTTGAAAGGAAAACAAAAAAAAGTTCAATATTGCCAGAATTCATTGTTTAATGATAATCATATAAAAAGCATGCATCGAGTAATTCAGACATCTGACCAATTCATTTTTGGCAATAAGCCAAGTTGCAGAAGCGACATGAAAGCTCACCAGTTGGTTTACCCCCTGCTCACTTTTATCAACGAAATACAGCACCTTACCCAACGAATCATCCGGGTAATAAAAGTCCTGTTAAATATTAAAAATAGACAAACACGAACGGATATATCATATTAAGGAATTTATAAATATATGACAACTTATGGTTTTATATAATGTATTTCTTTGGACTGACTGTTTGTTTAAAAAAAAAAATAAAAGAAAGAAAGAAAGAAAGAATAAATGCACATCGAAAGCAAAAAATAAAAAGCATTAAAATTAAGCCGTACTCTGTAAATAGATGCTATATGAAAATTAATGACATTTTATGTGATAGTTGAGTCTCGAACACGATAGTCTGAAATAATATTACAAAGGCGAATATATATATATATATCATATATGATATATATGTGACTTTTTTTTTAATAGGATATTTATTTTATTTATCTTTATGATATTTAAGTATAGATCATAAAATATATAATGACAAATTATTTCGTTAAAACTGATAATGGTACATTCTATATTTTTAAATATTATCTAATTGTAATACTACAAGAGAAAATGGATATAGTGCATAAACTTCAATTTCTAGAATGGCAAATATATGTCTAAAATGATAACATAATATAATCAAAATACCTTCAATAGATGAAGTTGTTCCAAAGTTAATTCCTTTACTGGTATCTCTAACGTGTCCATTGCTTCTATCTGTTTTTTACGTTTTAATGAAATTGATACATAAAAATCATGGTATACAACTGGCACAAGATCTTTCGATAATTGAACGTCAAATTCTACCATATCAGCACCGTGATATGATGCAGTTTTTAAAGATGCTAAAGTGTTTTCCCTTACGTTGGCACAACTGTAACAAAAAAAAAAATTTTTTTTTTAAATAAATTCATATTTCTCCACAAACGTATAATTATTGTATTAATGTTGTTCTTAAAATTATCTCTCAGACAACTTACTTTTTTGTTTCATATTTAAAAGAAGTGCCGAGTCCTCTATGACCAACATCTAAACCGGACCATCTTTGTTCCCAATGCTTTGTATATGAAATACTCATATCCCATGGATAATTTGGGATTGGTTTTATTACTACATATTCGATTGTTAATTGTCCTACAATCAAAATGTATATTAATATTAATGTCTTGTTATTGAATCAATCTAGTGAAATGAAGTAAATTCTTTACCAATTGGTCTATGTCTTGTGCTAGTAATCGGCACTGTCAGCATTCCAACACTAGATTGCAGTGTACTAGGCAATATGTAACTGAATCCAATATGATTTGGTGGCTCGCCAGGGAAACTCCTCGAACTGTATACGTAGTAGTCTACTAAATATGCCTGAAACAATATTCTATTTGATATATCTAACTTAAATTATGTATATAAATTATTAGTCACATATAAATCCTAAGAAAGACTTATTTTAACATAAAGAAATTACAGTGATCAAGGAGATTTTAATATTGATGAACTTACTACTATACATTTACCTGTTGGTTCATTAGCAATGTAACTGCAAACAAATTGATACTTTCCATTAAACGTTCTAATAAAAAGTAATTAAAGGTATATTCCTTGATCACGCACAAAGTGTAGGAATTAAATTATAGTTTTCTTCATAAATATTTGTTATATATCACGGTACCTATTTAATTCTATTCATCACTATTTGTTGAAAAGTGCAATAGAAAAAAAAAAACCTGAGACATAATTTATTTCCTACATAATCTAGCAATGAACCAAAACAATAATTGCCGACTGCTGTACACTGCCTGGTGACGGAGGAAATTCCGCAACACCTGCCGATCATTCATAGTTTAATTTAGAAATAAAATATCTGCAAAATTTGCAATTCTCGGATTCGGAAGATATGGACAGCTTGGTCTGACATTGCCTGCGCAACGGCATCGCGTACGGTACATTAGAGTTGGTCAGAGCTAGAAAATATTAGTAATACATCTAATAGGATATAGTGGAGTGATGGGAATCTCACCATTTTTGACGCACACAGATGTTTATGAGATGTGATATAGCGTTGACATCGCAAAGCTTTTAAGGATTGGCTTTTTTCTAGGATAACTATGACTAACGTAAATCAATCTCACGCGTATTACCAAGTTGTTTGATATAAATACTCTATTATTGCATACGATTATAAAAAGAAATAATTCAAATTTGTAAACGATATAACAAAGATTTACGAAAGACAATAATCAAAGGATGGGAACAGATAGGTTAAACGACAATCAACACCATCATATCTCTGTGTGATGTCGTGTGACACAAGTGTAAAGTGGAGGACATCGATGCTTAGCATTGATAGCACCGGAAGAAGTCTTGCTTTGTATAAGCAGAAGGATGTCTTCTGTCCATGTCAGACCGTGCAAGCTCGCTGGCAGATTTCAAGGAGGGTAATAACTGCTGAACAAGTTTAATTATCTTTTATCAAGTAATTTTTAATATATCGCGATAGAAGATGTTGCCAGCCTACTGGTGGTATACTGAAAATTTGGTCAATACTTATTTTTTCCCTGTGATTTATCCATATTATTTATGACTAGTTGTGAATCACCATCGATCTGCTATTAATTATTCTTCGGTATAGAGTTAATAAGTATAATATGTATATTAATTTCAATCAAACGAACAATATATTCTGTAAGCAATAAATACCAGCCAATGGTTTATCACGTATTTATGTATCTATTGTTCTTCCGTTCGAAAAATCAGTATTATAACTTACAACAGTTTCGGGATAACGAACAGCAACATTGAAGATAATAAATTCGTCTTCTATGCAAGCTCGACCAAATTGTTCTTGATATTTAAAGCGAGTTTCTTCATCATTCATTACCTTTAATATAAAGAATAATACAAACAGTTATATTATTTAAAATTTTGGATATTTCATTATTGAAAAATAAGATAATATATATTTACAGCAATTTCTGTAATACTAAAAGCAGATTGATCAATGTCTTGAGTGTCCATAGAAAGGCTATCATCAATACACTCATTTCCAAACTGTTGTAATTCTAAAGAGTGCTGCCTAATTAAATTTACTGGAGTCATCTACATTATAATAACGAAATTATTCCTTTTTTTGACTAAATCTTATTTTATTTTACTTATTTTGTTCAATGATAAATAAAAAATTAAATATAACCATTATACCTTAATGTGCACTATTCTATTTTGCAACCGCTGTTTCCATAATTTAATTGGATTATAAAAAAGTTTAAATTGTATCACAGTCTCATCTGTAAGCCAACCACGTTCAACTTTACAATAACCATTGTAACAACCAAATATTTCTGAATTTGGCAATGCGTTATTAAGGAAGTTACCAGGCACTGGAAAACAACAAAAAAAAAAAAGAATAACAAAATAATTGTAAAAAGAAATCATACAAATATTTAACATATTTGATATTTTATAAACATACGATTTTTCTTAATCTGACGAGGTATCATGTGAGTTTCCCATTTGCGTATAATGAGAGTCTTGGCAGAATTTTTAGTACCATTGGATTGGCAAATAACAGCAATAAAATATCGATAATCTACATCAGCATCAACGGGTAGTGTAATCTTTTGAGAAAAAATTTGTCCTCTGAAATATTAATGTCCTTACAAATAATCTTAAAATTATAATTAGAAATAATTTAATTAGAATAACACATAAGACATGCGACAGAGTGATTATATGTAATGATTTATATAACGAATAAGTTGCAACATGCGTTTAAAAAGATATGTAACAATATTTCACTATTACTTACTTATCTATTTCATTAGAAATACCATATCCTGCTTCTGCGCGTGCATCAGCGTCATAAAATTCACTTTTGTTCTTACAATCGGAAACATTTTGAGCATTATATTCTTGAAACATTTGGATTGCCTGATTAGGATTCCATGCCCCTAATTCAGGCAAATTTCCCACAACGTATAAGCATTCGTTTTTTTCCAAATCCGACACCTAAAGACGTCATGATTTTATTTTGTAACAAAATGTATATTTATAAAACATTTATTAAATATATATAACATAATAATAAGATATAAGAAAAATTTGCAATCACCTGTACTCTAAATACCCAATCTCTCTTGGAACCCCTCATGTTGGATAAAATATTGTTAGATGTTACGTCGACGGAAGTACCTTTGGACACTGCCTGTAGTAGTTCGACTTCCTCTCCTTTGTTTTCTATAAACCACATTCGCTGCATATTACTATTTTTATCTTTTTTTTAATTGTTCTCTTTGACTATTCTGTGTGTTCAAGACACGTTCAATTGACATCAGTTAATTTTCTGTAATAAGGGTCTCTGAATGATATATCTTATACGTTTAACATCATCGCATTACCAATTGGGCTTATGAAATGCTTATGAAAGAATGTAAACTGTTCCATTATATCAGATATTTATGCGCTAGCTTATAAATACAAAGACATTAAGGATATGCAAGTCATATAAAGTATTTAATAATAACATACCAAGCTTCCATTAATAATTTAATCTTTATATTAACTTTTATCACATATCTAGTAATATACTATTGTCGAAAAAATCAACTAATCTTGTTACATTAGAACAATACAGATCTAATAACAATATGATGTAAGTAAATATAACCAATGATTTGAATCATTCACTTAGATGAACATGTTACGTATATAAAATATTGTATATAACATATTGTAGACGCGACGCGAAATTTGATATAGACATGTTTCGACAATGACGTGACGTATTAAATAAAAATAAATGTTACTTAAAGTAAAATAGAAAAATTGCGCCACAAGATTGAGTATAATCAAATCAATTCGATTTACAGGAAATTGCAGATGAAATTTAGACAAAAGAATAAAATGGATACAAAGTCCATGATAAAAGAAATATGAAGAAAATATTTTGCTTAAGAAAAATATGTATTTTTTTTTTTTATATATTATTTACCTCTGTAGTAACCAAGAAATTTTCAATTGAATAATATTATTTGAACGTGTTTGGTTTAAGATAACTTATGTTATTTAACAAAGTCCCAAATTAGGCACCTCATATTTTTAATCGAATATAACATAACTAAATATTTACCGAACAACACAAAACTATCGTTTCCGTACAAATGTTTTTAACGGAAGAGACGGTCACAACTTAAACATAATTTAACAACATGCCGGATATCCGGAAATAGCGCCACTCGGTGTACACTAATATTTTAAAATTCTTACATTCAATATCAAATATGTATTTAAGATATTTTTAAAATATTATAATAGCTACAAATATTATTATTATTAGCTAGTTGACAGAGAATTAAGTCAAATCATTTTAACGATTTATAGATTATTTATCAATTCTACGATTAATTCTATATATTTATTCTTTTCTGCAGAATCTTTGCACGCCGGATCACTCCGTTCTCATTCATTTATTTAGCATATTTATATATTAGTAAATTGTCGGATAATGTTAGATCTTTATTTTTAAATGCAAGGCCGTACAATAATATTTCCTTAATTGTCCCTGTTTATTTCTCTATTAAACCATTCTGAATTATATTATAACGTTTGTTGTGATGTTAAGTATTAATTATCATTTTTGCCTAAGAATTTGATCTCTTGCTATTCAAGTATACATCATACATATAAATATTATTTACTAAATATTATTTTCGTACTTATAGACTTTGTACTTTCATTTAAAATGAATTTCTGAATTTATTTCAGATGAAACGATGCATTAAAGAAGCGGTCAAATCTACAATAGTATACAATAAGTGGAATTTTATGAGTTTATTAATAAGAAAAGTAAAAAAAGGATTATATTTACACACATTAGGATTATATTATAATATATCTTAATATTATTACTTTGGTTTAGATTTCTCTGTTCTAATAACCGTTGACATTCCATCAACGAATCTTGTTGTAAATAATACATTGGCATTATTGAACATACCATCTTTTAATGACACAACAATAAACTGTGAATGTTTAAAATGTCTCTTCAACATTTTACCTATGTTTTCTGTATGAGAAAGATCCAAAGCTGCATCTACTTCATCTAAAATGTAAAGCGGAGCAGGCTTGAATAAAAGCATAGCTAATATTAAAGACAAAGCGATTAAGGATCTTTGACCACCAGACAATTCTCCCAATGATTCTTTCCAAATTCCAGAAAATCCAATTTTTATTTCTAATCCCTCTGTAATTGTTTGATTTTCTGGAGGTACAAGCTTAGCATCAGTTCCTGGCAACAAACTACTGAATATTGATCCAAAGTCTTTGTTTACCTAGAAAATAAATGTAATATCCAAAGTAGCGAAGGTAAAAAGGAAAGCGAAGAGAAAAAAAAGTAAATAAGACAAACATGTATAATTATTGTATAATATATATATATTATATTATATATTTTATTATCACTTACTTGTTCCCAAGCTTTCTCCAACGCCTCCTTTTTCTTCTTATCTAAATATTGGATTGTTGCAAGTATTTTTTTCTTGTCATTTTCCACTATTTTCTTCTTTTTCATCATATCGTTATACTGTTCTTCTTCTTTACCCAAAAGATTAATTGCTCGCATGTTGACATTACGTTTCAACTCTTTGCACTCTGTTCGTAATTGCTTTAATTTTTTATCCACTTCTCCTGGATCGTTAACTTTGAAATCATACATGCCACCTAGAATATAATATAAATATACTCTATCTGATATTATAAAGGATTATTTCTAACCTAAACATCCTTGCAATTTGCAATACCTTCTTTTTCAAAATATTGCTTATCCTCTTCTATCCACCGATATTGTTTCTTTAAATCTACAAGCTTGCATGTGCATTTTGAAGAAAACTCTTTAAACGAAATTATTTGGTGATTTAATGTTTTTATTTCCAATTCATCTTCACTTTTTTGTTTGGTGATATTTTCTTTTTTTGCTTTTAACTTTTGCATCCCTTCGTTCTGTTGATTTCTAATTTGCTTTCGTTCTTTAACTCGATCTCTTGAGCTTTTTACCTTGGCATTAATTTCCTCGAGTTCTTGTGCAAAAGCATTTCCAATTTCATTGAGTTCAATTAATTTGTCTTCGACCTTAACTAATTGTTGTTTCCCAGTCTGGATAATTCCTCTTAACTCTTTCATCTCCAACTCGAGCGTTTTAAATTTTTCTTCCCGTTTTTGCCACTCGACACGACTCTTTTCAGCTTTCCTTTTTAAGGTCGTTAATAGATTCTCCGCTTCTTTCAATTGATTTTCGCGAATATTAATAACATCTTTCAATTGACATTCCAATTCTTTAGTCTTTATTAAGTTATCTCTTTCCAAAGTTTTAGCTGCACCTATACGTTCCATCAAATTGTCAATATTTGTCTTCAATAATTCTACCTACAAAAAGATTAGAGAAAAAAGAAAGAAAAAGGATAAGTTTTTCATCTGAAAAATTATTTAAAATTAGTTAATCCCTAATCTAAAGAAATCTCCTATTAATGTACCTCCTCTTTAGTTTTATGATGCATCGTTTGTTGTAATCGTTGTTGTACCATATCGATTTCATATTTTATTAAATCGTATTTATCTTTTAACAAGGCATATTCTTCTCTTGCTTTTTCATTTATTATTAGATCCTCATCGATCTTTAACAAATCTTGTTGTTTTTGTTTCAATAGATCTTTCGTTACATTCAATTCTTCAATTTTAAGAAGAACAGATTCCGTTTTAGATGCTGCACCACCGGACAACGTACCGACAGGATCAAACATATCACCTTCCAGGGTCACACATTTTTTCATGATCTTTTTATGAAAAGCTATCTTTTCTGCAGTCTCCATATCTTTACATATAAAAATCTGACCAAATATCCAAGTCATCGCGGGTCTAATTTCTTCTGAAAAATCTATAAGCGACAAAGCCGGTTGAACCTTATCGGCGCCAACTAATTTTTCCGCTAATTCGATTATATAGCTATCCATAAGTCTTCCGTCTATTTTGTTAAGCGGAATAATCGTGACGCGTTGTTGTAACTGACCATGTTCCAACAATTTCATACCGTTATGTTCTGTATCGACTATTACATTGTAAAGCTAAATAAATATAGAAGAAAAATGTTTAATTTTTATAATATCATTACATATCCATTGTGGTAATATTATAGAAATAAGTTTTTATTTATATAAAGTTTACAACAATATACCTTTCCACCTGCAGCTAAGTCTAAAGCATACGCAGCATCTTTATTTTTAATCTTCAATGACGTACAGACCAGACCCTTAACGGAATCCTCTTTAAAATGGAGATCTGGCTTTTTATAATAAAACCTAAGTCTAGGATATCGCTGTTCTAATAGGTCTATTTTCTCTTGCAAACATCTTATTTCATTTTTTAACGTATGCTTATGAGCTTGGAGCTCTTCCGAACGGTCTTTGTAATTAATCCGTTTTAATTGATCTTCCAAGTTCTTCAACTCCTTTTCCTTCTTCTCGAGAACTTTACTATCTTTTCTATATTCATCTTCCGTATTACGCATGTCTTTTAATTTAGTATTCAATTGAGCGTTAGCATGATCCAGGCTCATTTGCGACTGCTGGAGCTCTGTTTGCGCTTGAGTTATGTACTGTTTAGCATTTATCAACTGTTGCTCCAACGTTGCATTTTCACCATTCTCGTTTTGCAATAATCCTGAACTAATCTTTTGATATCTTTCTTGGGCAGCCATTAACGCTACAGAATCCTTTTCATCATTTTCTTTTAATTCCTTAAACAAACTTTCTACATTTTCAAATTCTTTTTCTTTAACGTGTAATATTTTCTCTTCATCGTTAATGTTCGTTTTTAATTGTTCTACCGTCTTTTCTGCAGCTTTAATGTCTTCTTTATTGCTATTAAATTTGGCTGTTATTTTAAATTGCTCTTTTTCCACGTCTTTTAATCCGTCCTCTAATTTTTCTAATTGTTCACCAAATTCCTAAATGAGAAAGAGAAAAATAAAGCAATGTCTAGGTATATGCACATATACATAAAAATATAAAAATGTCTACAGATTACTTATTTACTAACCGCGTTTATCTTATTCATCTCGTTCAATTTCATATTAATTTCTTCTATCTCCTTGCTCCCGATACTAATTCTTTTCATTTTTTCATTTATTTCATTTTTAGTAAGCTGCGCTTGCTCTTCTGCCTCATCATTGCTTCTTATAGTTTTAATATACTCCCAAGCAATATTTAATCTGCTATAATGGTCTAATTCTCGTTGGACTCTTTGAAATTCCATATAATGAAATCTTTCCTCTTTAAGTTTATTCAACTTTGGTGCTATTTCTTGTTCCAGAACCTACGATAAAATAATACATTGCAAATCAATATATTTGAAAATAAAACACAATTTACTTTTAGAAGGGCTTTTTACGACATACATTATTTATTTCTTTCAATTTATTTTCTTTTTTTTCAATAGTTTTAAGAGATATTTGTTTTTTCGTTTCATACATGCGTGTTCCTGACGCCTCCTCAATCATAGATAAAATTTCTAATGGTTTCATATTCAACACCTTGGTAATTCTGCCTTGCATTATTAGGAAGTGAGGATTATTTACATTTAATTGTACAGAACAAAACAAGTCTTGAACTCTTTTATTAGGCACGTTAGATCCATTAATCATATATTTATTTTTCCCTCCGATAATTATTTGTCTTGTTATGACAAGTTCTTCGTGATGCTCGTATCCGATAGGCGATGACTCACGATCATGATTATCGAATATTATTGTAACAGTTGCTTTCTGTATACCTGCTTGACCAGACTTGTATACTAAATCTTGTAAAGATGCAGCACGTACCTGTAGAATTATAATATTATAATATAGGGAGAATAACATAATTAATATTTAAAAATTAGGATTTATATTTTCCTTCTGTCAAAATACGATAAAATGGCATTTGATAGAAAATAAGAGACGCTAAATAAAGGACATAAAATTTGCTTTTCTCCGATGAGAAAACAAACATCAATAAAAAATATGAAGCTTTAATATTCTTACTTTCTAGATAATAATTTGATCGAGGCATCGAATTAATTGTATCTAATAATATAAAATAATTTGAGCAAAAGTGTAGTCATTTTTGCAGCTTTCGCGCTCTTCAAATTTCATGTCGTAAAAACCCAGCGCAATTGACAAATTAAACATTACAAATTAAAAATATGAAAATAAAATAAGATGATATGGTATATAATCCTAAAATAATTGATAATATATAATTATATATATAAATAATAATTCATCCTTACCTGACTGAGATTTGTAATACCCAAAACAAAGCATATAGCATCTAAAATATTTGATTTACCGCTTCCATTAAATCCTGTGACAGCATTGAATTCTTTATCAAAGTCGTTTATCTCTATTCTTTTACCGTAAGATTTAAAACCTTCTAATACCATAGATTTAATATACATTTTGAGAGATATTTATTATTGATATTTATTATTTAACGAGTTACGAAAACTAATTGCACGAAAAATACGAGGTCCGAACCGTTAACCATGGAGCCTATAGCTTCGTTCCGTTAACTTATATATGAATCATAGATCTTCTATTACATAAACTGATTTTCTTTCGCTGCAATATGAACGCCATATTGATAAAATGGCGCTTATATATTCGACGCTAAATTGAAATTTTTAAATCATGGATTGTTATATTACTTTATATATGTTTCCGTTATTCTATAGAAAAATAATCTTCAATTTTGTTTGAAAATCCTGTTTACGGTGACCATTCGTACTTCATTTTATTTTTCGTATGATATTTTAAATGTAATACAAATTTTGCTTTAAAAATCAAAATTGATCTTTTAAAAACGATACGATTGTTGCGCGACTAGAGCGCTACAAGTAAACACGACAGTAGCGCACCTTAAGAATAAGAAAGTGTATTAATTTTTCCTCTTTTGGCCCTTTTTGACACTCTTTGAAAGATGTGAATTCGAATGATTAGAAATGAATAGTGAATAATAATTATAGATTAAGAAGGACAGCAAATATTTCAATAAACATTTGAAACGTCTTTACACATAATGGCTAGAATTACAATACAAAAATATTTACAAAAATGTAAATCTATTTGGTATACATATATGAGTCTAGTTTTTTCAAGTGATTAATAATCACATTTGAATAATATTTTTTTTCTATTATATTTTTATCATATAGTTTTACGAGAACGAAATTTTCTACGAGCATTTGGATCAAATGTTTATCGACAAAAAATGTCAACGCAAGCTTCCATTATTAAGCAAGAAGAAACAAATGGTATGTTTTATATATACGAAAAATATATATATTATAGTTATATTTATCTATTTCTTATCTATATTACGTGCATCATTTACTATTTATTCGTTAAAATAAATTCTATTTTTTAGATAAAACAGAATTCACCATTAATCCTATGAAACATCCAGACTTTTTTCAAGTACACAATTTTTTTACTGTCAAAGATTTATTCGACGCAATGGTACACTATGGTCACAAGGAAGGTACTTTACATAAAAATATGCGTCCTTTTATATTTGGATCTAGATTAGGGCACTTGATAATAGACTTGAACCAAACGGCTGAACTCTTAAGACAAGCATTGAATTTCGCTGCTCATATTGCATTTCAAGGTGGATTAATTTTATTTATTTCAAAAAATCCTGCAAGTACTTACGTTGTAGAAAAAACAGCTAAGAAGTGTCAAGAATATGCGCATACCAGAATCTGGAGAGATGGAACATTTACTAATTCTGTTAGAATGTTTAAATTGGAAACTAGGTTACCCGATCTCTGTATATTTATTCACACTCTTGACAATGTAGTCACACCGCATCCTGCAATCATTCAAGCAGCAAAAATGTGTATACCTACAATTGGTATCGTTGATACAAATTGTAATCCTAACCTTATAACATACCCAATTCCTGGTAATGATGACACACCCTGTGCCATTGAACTTTATTGTAAACTTTTCTCCGAGGCAATATTACGTGGCAAAAATGCTAGGAAAACTATCTTAAAGAAGTCAGAATCTATCGAATAGTAATTGTTAATATTTGATGTGTAAAAAGGTAAAATACAATTCTCTCTTCGATATATTTCATTTATTACACGATTTATTTTTTACAAAAAAATGTAATTTTTTCATTACTATCAGCCACGTTATACGAGTTAAATAAAGAATTGATAAAAAAGAAACAGGCTTCTTAAAATTAACTCAACTATACTACTTTACTTTTATTAGAAATATACGTTTATTAAAATAAACACAATAGTATTTATTTCGTGTTTATATATATATATGCCATATACAGCCGTAGTTTTTCGAATTGCGTCAGAAAAAAACACGTCGTTGATACATCGTGTCAATAAATAGAGATATGTATACACAAATTGAAATTTTCGTTAAATTTTATCTGCATTTTTAGCATCCCGTAGCTTCGTTAAAAATCGTTTGCCCACAAACTTCATTATAATCCTAAAAATATACGAGTATAAATAAATTCTTTGAATAAAAAATTACTGAAAAAACTATTTATCAAATAAAACACATTGAAAATAACAATTGAAATATATTCTGTTACATACCATGAGCCCACATTTGGATAATATTTTAATACATATGATAAGAATAATACAAATGAATGTGAAATCCATGCTTCGGAAACTTCATTTGCAATCGCTATTGCTGATAATGTAGCACAACGATTGGCACTAATTTTATTATCAGCCTTATCCGTTTTTATTCCAAATTTCTTGAAAATGACATAATATTATATAGTTATTGCTTGCGAAAAATCATGATTTTGTAAGAAATAACAAGATCACCTGTCCTGATTTTTCTGTAAAAGCTTCCAGCAAAAAGTTTGTTTGAATCGGCCCAGGACATATCATAGTTATAGAAGGAAAATTCTGCCCTATTTTTTCTACAGAACAGGAATTAAAGTAACCCTAAAAGAAATCAAATAAAATAAAATGTACAATAAACAAATAATACGTTAATAGAAAATAAATTTTTGTTTTGAAAAATAATACTAACATGCAAAGCGTGCTTGCTACCGGTATAACTTGCCGAGTAAGGAACTGGAAAAATTCCAGATATACTAGATACAACTACAATCTGGCCGAGATTATTTTGTAAGAAATATTTCATGGCTATTCGAGTTAATGATAAATGAGAAAATACATTCAACTCGAAGATTTCTCTATCTACATTGATATCAATGTTTTCCCAATGTGCCCTCTGACTTCGTCCAGCATTATTAACCAGTATGTCAAGCTGAACATAATATGATTACAATTTTTTTTTTTAAATTGCGTATTATATCGATTTTTAGCAATAAATAGTATACTTAAAGGAGTAAGATATAATGAAAATCTTGTATACCTTGCCGAATTTTTCAATAACTGTATCAAATGCTTTCTGATGTAAATTAATATCGCAAATATCTAATGCAAGAACTAACACATCATCATCTTTCAAGTAAGAGTTTCCTGCAAGAAAAGTGTTTGAGGATACAGAATATATTTATTTTTCACGAATCAATAGATACTTGACAATTATACTATCCATAATATGTAAAAGTAGATAAAGACATTATTTTTACCTTCCAAACAAGCTTTCTTAACATTTTGCAATAGTAACTCTCTCCTAGCAGACAATATTAATTTACATCCAGCTTTTGCTAATACGTAAGCCAAGTGTTCTCCGATTCCACTGGAAGCACCGGTTATCCAGACAACTTTACCCTTTAACGAACCTATGGAATGAATAATAATAAGGAATTAAATTTGCATTAATATTTAACGATACATAATGAAAGCTATAATGTTAGCTAATGGGAACTATTTATAGTTATATTCTTATTTAAACTTACTTATAGGTTTTCCAAATTTTTCTAGAAATGCAAGTTGCATATTACAATCCGAAAACCAGGGATAAATCAAATGTAGGAGAACAATAAAGATACTAATGAGCCCAATAAATGCTAAGAAATCCATTTTTGTAAGTAACTAAAAATAAAAAAAATTGAATAAGTAATAATTTATTATTTATCTTCGCGCTCGTCATGAAAAATATAAACGAGCATAAATAATAGTAGAACTAGTAAAAAATTTGGTCAAGTTATTTTTTTAACTTAAGATCACATATGGTAAAATATATGATAAACATATGGTATTTTACTTTTTAATTTTTTCATGCATTGCTAAGTTGTGATAACTGTTCCTAATTGATATTATTACTATACGTAACTATATATATGTAATAATACATTACGCGCAAAACGATTCACATTAAACTATTAATCGGTACTTACATCCTCAATTTTTACGATGCTATTATTTCTGACTGAAAAACTGGCATATGATAAAATGAAGCTTATTAAAAATTCTTATGTGCTAACTTTGCACGAAAAACTCCTTATCTCAAGTATTTAATATGCTTTCTTGCTTTTTAAAACATTACTATACAAAAACGATAAACTTTTGGGTGATGATGGAAGGGGCAGGGGGAATGAGAGAGAAAGAGACCTTGCATGAAATACTTTGGAACGAAGCAATATTTTCTCTCCCACTTTATTGTTTTCTGTATGTTTAAATTAAAAAAAAAAAAAAAACGAAATTAGGTCAATGTAACGATATATAGAAAAACTATCTGTTTCAATGACAATACTGTGTTAAAATAAAGATATATATTCTTCTTCTATTGTCAATTTCTATATCATAAAGTAGAGTATTTGGAGGTTAAAAAGCAATGAGAAATTATGTATATATTTTTCTAGATTGAAGTCAATTTTTTTATTCTATTATTAAAATAGAGTGTCAATCTTTTTTATCAAAATGGGTAAATTGTGCTATCTGTGTGATAAAAAATTATCAAAAATAGATAATATTTCATTACATAGGTAAGTCGATAAGAAATATTAATAAATGAGGATAAATTTCTTATGACAAATGACAGTAATGTATAGTCAATTCAAGTTTTCCAAAGGATTTGACACTACGTCAAAAGTGGTTAATTTTTTTGATTCTACAAAAATAGGAAATTTTTTACAACTGTTACTTTTTTATACTTTAATTAAAAATTGATTGGATTATAATTAATAATATAAGGAAAGACATAAAACATAAAGACGACAATAAAAGAACGACTATGATTGTTGTAACTGAAGAAATTTTTGTTTCCTTTTCCTTATGAAAAAATACAAGTTTTTTATTTTACATATTAAGTTTGAAACAGTTATCTTTTAATATTAATCTCACTCTAAATGAATCCGAATCTCCGGACTAGATACTTCGGAAAAGTGATCATAAAATTATAAATGCATATTTTATTGGCTAGTTATTTTATCAACAAAAATAAGATATCTTTTTTCATTTCATAAGCCAATTAAAATATATATTCACAAAGGACGTGGACAAGAACATTTCCCCCGAAATTCTGATTTATTTAGCTTCACTATCTTCTACTCTTATATAAATTATTCTGTAATATATTTTGATAGAAAAGAGCTAGAAAATAAAAATGCTGTACGATGCTTTATTATGCATGCTCCTCTTCTACTGATTTACTTAAAATACTCTATCTTGATATCCACTATCAGCCATACTTGAACTAGGTTTTGCTGGACCACCTGGTACTTGATGATGAGGATGTCGCATGTGGCCAGGTCTCCTTGGCGGTGCTAAATATTCAAACATGCTTTGCGTATGTTGCGCCAACATTTTACTTAAATCGCAAGGCATTGGATCTGTCCAGAAGAAGTCATGATTTAATGCAGAATCCGAATCAAATCTTTTACTAGGATCAAGGATAAGAAGTTTGTCCAACAAATCGCAAGCGTAGGGATCTTTCAAATATGGCTTCAGTCTGTCTTTAACCTAAGAATAAATAAAAATATTAATTCAATATAACCTTCGAATTGAACATATTACATTACTTTTTTTATTTATTTTTTTTTTCATCGTCACGCATACTTTTCTTTTTTGACCCTTGGGCAGATCCATTTTGTTAAATAATTCCAAACGTTCTACACCTGGCCAAACCTCTGTCGTTATAGAACCACACAATTGTGAAATTAATATCAATTGCTGTTGCTCCGTATTTCCTTGCATTATAGGCGATCTAAAAATTAATTAGCGATAAAAAGAGTCGAAGGTAAGATAGAAAAAGGAATAATGTTAGAGTTAGGTTAAAGGAATATAAGAACGGTTACAGATTTAAGAGAAAAATAATAAAAGATTTTATAATTATTACTAGTCATTCTTTCTCATTTCTTACTTTTAATATTTACTAATTTAAGAAATTCTCTACATTTCATTAATTAAAATGCATACCTTGTCCACATTTCAGCCATTATACATCCAGCACCCCATAAATCTACCGGTGGACCATAATTTCTATCTCCCAACAGTAATTCCGGAGGCCTATACCAAAGAGTAACGACTCTATTTGTGTAACGATTTGGTTGACCATTCTTATTAGCACTAAATGCTCTTGCTAAACCAAAATCAGCTAACTTCAATATGCCATTCTTTGTTATTAAAACATTAGCAGCCTTCATATCTCTATGCAAAATCTGGAGGGAGAAGACGAACCATGAATTTTTCATAATTCCATTTATCCGTGATATATCATTAATAAAATAAACCTTAATTTACCTTATTACTGTGAATATAATAAAGGCCATTCAACAATTGTTGCATAACCTTCTTAATTTCTCCTAAACTGAATTTAACATTTACATTGGACAATAAACCGGCTAGATCGTGCTCGCAAAAGTCGAATACAAGGTAAAAAGTGGAGCGATATCGGTTGTACTGTGTTGCTGTAAAAACAAGTAAAAAATATATATATTAACTATAAAGTTTGTATACTTGCTATGTATGGGATTTTGCAAGGTTTTGTAAGAATCGTTACTAATTATAATTCCTTCTTAAAGACGCTAAGCAAACGTTAAGTTCATTCGAGTCAATAGAAAAAATCAACTCTGATTTTTTTATTTGTTACGTCGTCTATCAAAGGTAACATAGAAAACGGATAATTTGTTCAAATATCTTGTCGTCTACTCATTTGAAGCGATAATTGTATTTGTACTTTCTCTTGTTCTAAATCAAATGTTTTTTTTTATATCGAAAAGAAAAAATGCATCATTCTGTTTGAAAAATCAGAGTTGAGCCCCTCAAACAGTTTTAACATCAACGTTTAAGAAGGAATTCAATGATAATATTTCCTGCCCTCTTGAAATTTTCCAATGGGTTTTCAAATTGGAAACAATCCGATTTTATATCTCGCTTCATTTTTAGTATAAAACAAAAATTTCTTACCCCTTGTTCTACAAATTTCTATAAGACTCACTACATTTTCGTGCTTTAATAATTGTAATATCCTTATTTCTCTTAACGCAGTTATAGGAAACTGAAACGAAAAAGAAAGAAAAGATAGAATATCAATTATATACAATTACGTATAAATCATAAAATTTGGAAAATATAAAAGTACTTGTTATTGAATATCTGTCACAGATAATCTTTAATATGATTCATAAGAAGCAAGAAAAAATTGGACTTTACAAAAAGTAGCAATGTATAATAATGAAATGATATTTATAATATCAATTTATTAAGAAATTGAATTCACTGCAGTCGAAGTCTAGAACATTTCTTTAAATAAAAAAAAAAAAATACACTTTTACTGTTTATGCTTTCTAATGATTAAATAGAAAGTAAAAAGTATAGCGAGTGAAAATTATTAATATGAATCTGTATCGACATTAGAAATAATTATAGATGGTAATAAAAAACCGCGAATGGTAATAAGAATTAGAGCACTTTTACTGATATTAATTTTTAATAAAACATGACGAATTCGTGGAATCTTATATTTGTTTATTTACATACATACCCCTTCCTTTTCGTTGTCCATTAGAACTTTTTTCATAGCTACAAACTTTTTACTGGTTTTTTTATCCCTTGCTTTGAATACCTCCCTTTAATCGGACAAACAAAATTTGTATCTTTTTTTACATATATGGCAGAAAACAAATATATATAAATACATCAAATATTAAACTTTGTCAAGAAATATAATACATATGTAATCTAAACATTGAAATAAGAAAGTGAAGAAACTTTACCCGAACGTGCCCTGGCCAATTTTCGCGACTTTTTCATATTTCGATGATTCGTCGCAATGAGGAAAATCAAATTCCTCTATATATTTTTCTTTTTCTTTTGTATTCATATTTTGTTGCGGATTAAATAAGAAAAATCTAGCGATCCGCACCGACCACTATAATGCGTTTTAAGATGAGCAGTCCCGACAAAAGTCTTTGTTATATAGAAAGAAAACCTCTCAAATGTTTTCAAACTCTTAATAACCGATACCTATTTTCAGCAGTTATAAACATATTTTTGAAACTGTTTCTTGTCCTGAACCATCGTTTTCTTCATAGTTTTTCATTCTTAACGGTAGATGAAGCCAGGGGTAAGATTTAAAACATAACCTTTCTATTGGATAGCATCGTTGACTAGTCCACAAAGCCTATATACAAGGAGGACCGATCACAGTGTTACAAATGTGTTTACGTATATATACTATGAGAGGATGATTTCTATTGCCACTAGAGAGCGCGTCGATTCGACGGATGAGATAAAAAAAAAAACATCAAAGAGAACTATTTGTTTCATTTGTATATATTTATAAAATCACACGTATTTAAATCTGAACTCCTTAACACCACCACCACCCTCGAGGAGAATTATTGTGCTCCGTATTTAAATATTTTCAACAACACAAATTCGACGAAAACAGCACAAAAAAGTTGGCATAAAACCGCAACAGCAGAAACAAATGAATTAATTGCTCACTTTATTAATTAATTATTTCATTATTTATTAATAATGAAAATGTATGATATATATATTCTTTGATAGTATAAATAGTATAGTTTTATTGTAATAAAATTTTAAATAAATATATTTAATTTTTAGTGTATAAACATGTGTGTGCCTTCAGAAATGCAATTAAACATATATTGTGTTAAAAATAGTCATTTAAGGCGATTAAATAGAAGAAATTTCCTAAGGTGTATTGTTAAATCCAACGATGATCACCTGTAACAAGAAGAAAACTATATTAGTCAAACAGACAGAGGTGATACAATAGACTGACATATAAATCGTCCAATTCGCAGATGCACTTTTCAATTGAATTCTATATTTATTTTGATCGCAAATCTCTATTAATCGTTGCAATGAAATTAAATTTAAACGCGTGATTTTACATTTACATAAAATAAATAAAAATAAAGAAATGAGAAAAGTAAAAATACTAAGTTACTAAAAAAAATACTATCTTTTAATTAATGTGAAATACTTTTAAACTGCATTATTTAGAAAAGAAAAATTGTAAATTTAATAAAATACGATTACAGTGAAAAATTTTAAAGACGAAACAAGAAAAGAGAAATTACTGTAATATTTACCGAACGTTATTTAAGCTTGAAAATTTAATAATACGAAAATTTTCATATTTTTGACTCTAACTAACTAAACACATATGCATCTTTTAAACGATATAGACACGAATTTGGTGTCCCAAGGAGATGGAATGGTCCATCATCTCCACTTACAACTACAAATTAATGACGAGCAATAATGTAATATAATAAAATATAAAATATGACTAGAGAGCTATTTTCGAAGAGTTCGAACTTGCTGTTGAACTTTAGAAAATAACTCAATAGCCTCAATAGTAGTTGCCCTCTTCAGTCACATTTAAGTGGGGGCCTCTTCGGCCTTAGCCTCTTCTTTCTTCATGCCCTAAACTCTACTGTGAGGCTTTTTCTAAGCGCATTTTACAATACAAATCGTAGGGTTACATTTACTCGAATGCCTCAACAGATATTTGATCTAATCGATGAACCTATTATTAACACTTTGCATTTAAAAAATTAAATAATACCAAACAAAAGCAGAAACCTTGTCATACACAGAATTACTAAAGAGCAAAGCGTTAATATACTTAATATTAAGTAAGTATCCAACGTATTCAGCTATCTTCACATTTTCGAAAAAAAATTAATTTTTAAGAAAACGCGAAGACTTTTGAGTCGTTCGATACTGATTTATATCTCRCGGTACAGAGTATCAGCAATATATGGAAAAAAATACAAGAAATATTTAAATGATAAATGAATTTAAAGGTTGCTGGAACTTTGTATGATATCCGGGGAAGAAATTGTCCACTCCTGAGTGGAAATTACAATCGCGCGACTTCTTCGGTCTCTGCCTACTTACAAATTAAATAAACATTCACACCTAAGTATGCTACCTGTCTATTTATTGGCAATATATAAAAAGATCAAACATACATACGTACCCACCCACTCACTCCACGATTCTCTCACATACCACCAGGGTGCAAAAGCCTAAACTAGAGAGCATGCTCCGGGGCACCTCCGACATTTTAGTTCAAACGCGTGTTTTCTAAACTTATGGGAATACGTACCAATGCTGTAATTGACCGCCAGGGCTAATGATTATTGCAAATATGACTACATCAAAAATACTAGTACATACTAGTATATATGCATACTAATAATATACGAGTATATCAAAGTTTCCACAAATAAATGCGGTAACTCTACTATTCAAAACGATTTTAATAGAAAAAAAAAGTTAGAAAAATTTAATATAAATAGAAAAATACAATCACATGTATATTTTTCATTCAWATCACACCTAACTTTAGGTGTGCTATACTAATTGTAAGTAGAACTTAAAGTTATAAATAAATAATGCATTAATTAAAAACTATCACGAAACGATGTACAGTACTGATAAAAGAACTGGGCTTTGAGCCACCACTTAACTGCTAGAATCTATCCGTTCGCGTATTTGGTTTGTCTTCTTGCTCATTTATTTATAATATCGAAGTATCGATATATCGAAATTAATCGCGATTAGATAAACTAAGTACGGAGCAATGCACGTAAGAGATTTATTACATGCTTTTCTGGACGAGAACGAGTAAATTAATGCTCGGTTTCACCACTACTAACCACGAACAAAACACGTAATAAAAAACAAAGTGCATTAATTAATTGCACTATTAATTAAATGAATTTAACCGATGAGACAAGAAAACCTATCCTGAACTAATAAAACATACAATACAATACAATACAATACAATATACAATTTTCATGAGTAACTCCTAGAAAGGAATTACTCATATGCTCGTCACTAATTTATTGGAATAATTACAAAAAACATGGGGACAAAGTAACTCATGCTTTTTAACACTAGGTTTACGAGACGCCATCATTTTGACGCATTTTGTGTTAAACTTGCGAATTATATGTGGAATTATATGCGAATATGTGGAATTTTTCATGTACATTGCAACCAATGCTTTCTATTCACAAATAATGGTATTTATTTAAAATTACATATCGTTAAAACTCTAAAACTTTGAATTATTCTACCAGTAGATATGTCTTTCCATCTACTTTCCAGAATAGTACTTTGATTAAACTGTAAATAGACGAGGTGTATTTAGATGTTCCCATTGAAATGTTTCTTTATGAGATATGGACAAATCTAATATATGTTTCATAGAGTAACTCAAACGAGTTTTTTATTTTTAGTCATATAATTCGATCAGCCTTGATTTTACTTTAGTTCACTAGATCCCTTGATTACTAGGATATCCACATTGACTTCCCTTAAATGAACGTGACTTTTTACGATCCCTAAATATGTTCAAAATATAAGTATTCCTGAAATGATAAATATTGATGAAATATAATGAATCGCAAGTCCATAAGAGTCCTTACGTAGATTTAGAAGGTACCATTAGAAAAGATGCACCGAGTAATAGACTTTTTAATCTTATATCAAGATCTAACGGGAAAGTAAGTAAAAAAGTGTAATCATGAATCGTGTTATTCCACTGGTGCATTAAAGACGCTATTTGGTGTGAACCGTCGACCGAGATAATCTGTAAAAAAAGAAAAGAAAAGAAGAAAAAATGTTACGCTTACAATTAAACACAATTTATCAAGCTTTTCATACTTAGATTAAAGATTTCCACGAATTTTATGATAGACAACGCACTAGACTTGTAACATTGAATCACTACTGATTAAATAACACAATTTTTGTCAATGTTAAACATTATACATTCGATAGTTGTACTATTGCATATTGTGCAAATAAATAAAATAACGGTTCAACAAAAGTGATCATTTTTCTTTATTTTTATAACTGTTTCCAATACAGAAATGGTACTTTGCGTTAGGATAACATTGACTAAATTGACTAAATAGATAAATATTTCTTACCTGAAATTGTGATTCCTTGTACATGCAACAACTGCTTACATTAGGACCGTATATATAGCACAAAGGTTTTCGTGATGCATCGTAAACAGTAAAACTCGGTCCCAATATAGAGAAATTTTGTTCTACGCTCCCAATTAAAACCGTACTTTCTATTGTCATTTTCTGTAGTAATAAAGAAAAAGTTATTCAGAGAAAAAGAAAATAGGAAAAAGCAAAAAAGGATGATTAATTCGTGAATGAATGAACATAACATACATGCACTGGTCCAGGCATATATTTCCATACAGGATTTTTCTTAATAACAAACGCCGTCTCTCCAGCTTGGTCTAAAAGAATTAATGTTAAATTTGCAATTCTATTTATATCTTTGTTGTCTGCTCGAGACTCCATTGCTAAAAAAATCGTTTCAGCTTTTGGTATTTTCACTCTATATTGCTTTTTAGTTCCAGATAATCCAAATACTAGAAAGCATTCAAAGTCGAAGGAAATTAATTTGCAGGTAAAAACGAAGATGCAAGATATACGATACGATACGACATACAGGTTGATCCAAATTAACTAGCAATAATTTTCATTACTTTTCCTTTCCAAATGTTGTTCTTTTATTAATTAAAAAAGCACAAATAAAAAACTATATTTTAAATTATAATATTAGCTTATCTTCAAAATCCTGCGATTGCAATGCTTTATCGCAAATTTCTTTTTGGCATTAAATAACTTTTAAAAAAGTGTCTTAAGTTATTGCCAGATTCTTATAGATTTTCCAACCCTTATACGTATACGATAGATTAGATCTTTCAAAGAATAATAAGGTCTTTCATAAAATAAATACAATTCGATATAGATATTTTTCAAATAGAAAGTTGTAATGTTTTATTTTCCTTTTTTCCCCCAGATTATAACCTTTATTTAGGAGAAAAAAATATAAGAGGAAGAAACAGATAGGTAATATAATAAAATATCTATGATCGGGTCAATAATAATGTATAAGTTTTCGAATTACAATCACACACACGTGTATGCGTGCACGTGTATATGACACGATCATAAGAAAAACTCGTTGAAAGACCTTCGTATCTTATATCGTGTCTACAAAAATAAAAATAAAAACGAAAATTACAGCCGTTCAAATTGATTATCCTTTGAATTTCTAATTGTTCAACTCCGGCTAAGAAATGCGTTCCTGAGAGTGCAGTTAATTGAGATCTGGGTGTTGAGACCCAATCTGTAGTAGATATTGGTATTGGTCTTCTGCTCGAGTTATTTTCACCTAGTAAGTATAACATTTGAGAAAATATTTCTTATTCTTGTATTAAAATGTGTTTCAAAGCTTTTCAATCGAAAGGTTGTTCTTTAATCAGGTGTTATTAGGTACCGTTACCTTAAATACAATAAATGCTTGCCTTGATCTAGGGACAAATGTCACATGCAAATTGATGTGACATGCATCGCAACGTGTCTCATATAAGAAATAGAGGAGATCAAAATGAAATCAAATAAAATTTAAACAAACAGACAAACGAACAAGCGTCTTATTTGAAACTGATGCAGTAGGTTTCGTGCACTCAAGGTACACGGCATCGCAACGTGTTTAAGGAGTCGAATAAACAAGGACAATGCAATATGTGCATCCATTTACATGCGTATTATATCCATATAAACGTACCTCGCGGTTGCGCCGTAATTACGATCGGGCCTTCGTAAACCGCTGGTATACTAGACCTTTCTTTATCCTCTAATTCCATATTTTTATTTGTTAGACGAATTAAATTCTCAATTTAACCAAGTCAAGTCTATACATACAATTTTGATCAATAATTTTCATCTACAATTATATTATATCGAATGTATTGCGTATACGTTTCTCAACGTATTTATACGTAATTATTTATGTGCGTACTTGACGTCTAACGTTTAACATTTTTTCGTTTTTGTGTCGTCACATTTTACGCTTCTTTTATCTTTTCTTTCTTCATAGATGAAGCAAACAAATTAATTATAATTTGAACACTATCATATTACACTGTAATATACGAATATCATCGAATACACGTAATATATACGCATTTATGTGTATAATAAGTCGAAACGATCGTTAATACTGCCGTTAAAAATGTTTTTTCTCTGTCCTCGGTTACCCGTTATCCTTTTATCTTTGATAAAACAACGACTCACATCGTGGCAACGGATAAGTGTTATCTTTTATCTACGTTATCCGCTTACCGAGTAGATAAAAATCTCCTAAGCGCGATTTAAAGTCAAATTAAATGATAGGAAGTTCTAAGGAAATATTGATTTATTAGGCGATAGAAAAAGACTAATGTAAGCTATATATAGAGAAAATAACAGTGAGAATAACAGTGCACAAAATGACGTCTAAAATGACGTCTAAAATTACGTCTTTTAAGTATATAATGTTAAAAATGACAAAAGGATTTTATTTGACTATGTATCATGCTTCTCTCTTTTATGGGAGTTAAATCTCATTGCCAGTTTAGAAATTAGTTCTAGTATACGTGAAATTTCACGTAGCTGAATATATACTTGTTATGTAATGAATCTATATGTATATGTAATATGTACACAAGTACCTACCCAAAATGTGTCCTTCATTTTAAAAATCAACCTGAAATATGTATGCGAATATCTATGGAATTTGAAGCACGTGCGCGCGATGTCGTATTCGTTTAAATAGAGGTAAGGTGTTATTCGATAAAATGTAAAGGACGATGAAACCAGAGAAATGAGATAGAAGAACAACTGCTTTTCAACAGCTTGAAAAAAATCATTTACCGTGGAAGAAAGTTTCTAAAATTAGAATTAAAACAAATGTTCCCCTATCCTCAAATCGATATACATATTCGGTTTGACACAATGTCAGAATTTGTAATAATTTATAGAGACATAATTATAATTAGACAGGCAATGTCGTGACGAATTCACCGACCTCAATGCGTTGGTCTTTCAACATCATTTTAGGCTATTTATTGCAACTCAAAACTTATCTTCATTTAACATTTATTAATTATTATTTGTGTCCTGTATTCGAAAAGACGAGCTCAGTCGATCGATACAACGATTTACCCAATCCTCTTGAAAAGTGTACAACTGCAGAATTTTTCTATGATTCTTCATATTATTGATATCAAGAAACGAGATAACGTATATTATATTGCTTTATGCATATGTTATATGCATATTTTACCGTAAAGTATGTACGAGTAATTTATTAATATAATAAACAAAAAAAAATATCAATAACGAATATCAGTAAAAAGTAATAATACTATTTAGATCAAATTAGTTTAATATATCAAATAATTAATAATCTCCGTGAATATGTGTTGTCATACTGAATCAATTTTCAATGCAAATTTCAACTGCAAACGCAGTTGTTATATTGTACATGATAGGTGAGAAAAAATGGATGCAATATGTTAGTAATAACGTACGTAGTCGATTATTTTTTCAAGTAGAACTACTATGTTGTATTTTATTTATATTTAATAACAAAAAATAGAGATTATTTCGAATAAAAAAGTAAATGCCCGTATCATTTTCTTCGGTCGGTATGTTTCTTCAGGCACACCCCACACGCCTTTACTTGTTGCTGCTGAACGGCTTAACTCTGAGAGTTCCATGCGCGTTTCTATCGATCCTCAAGAGGCTCCTATATAAAAGCTCCTGCCATTGGTGATGTTTGAACAGAAAACGAATTTCATGTTTCGAGAAACTATCTCGCACGAAAGAATACGAGAGGGAGAGAGAGAGAAAGAGAAAGAAAGAGAGAGAGAGAGAGGGAGAGAGAGATACACACACACACACAAATATTGAAAGGACATTTAACACGATTGCACAGTTTACGATGCGTGTCATGCGGATAAATTGTTAAGAAAGAAAGGAGAGGAGAAAAAGATATAGAAGAAAGACTGGAAAAGAAAAAGAGATAACAGTAAGTGAAATGATCGAATTACGATTTATATTTTTATTGTCTTTATCATGTCAGCACGCTTCTTCTTCTTCTTCTTTTTCTTCTTCGTTTCTTGCCTTTTTTCTCATTTAAGTTCATTCATTCATTTTGATAGGCACAGTTCGCGGGCCTATTTTTGTTCCAACATCACTCGCTATTTTATCGTTGTTTTCGTTTACATTTATTTAGGAATTTTCTTTGCAAATCTTACGTACCATCTGTTAGCATAAAGATCATTATGCTACGCTAATGCATGCGAATCAAGTTGTACATTTGAAAGGTGTTTAAAATGAACACATCATCAGATTCATCGAAAAATACAACAAAATTGCATTTATTCGTCATTCTAACGATGAAACTTCGGCTAATCGATTGTTCTATTATTGGTTCATTATATCCAGGAGATTTGGCTTATTGTTCGCTAAGTTTATCATGTGAGAATTTTGACAAGGATTAATTCAAAAAGTATTAACGGATCTTTTGTCTTGACTAATTACCAGCACGTTTGAATGATTTCAACTTGGGCAAATAACTGTACGCGTTCGATGACGCGTAAAAAGAAGAATTAAAAGGCTCATGCGAAATCGCCGACATATTATTTATTGATATAGAAATGGAAATGATATTATCAACATTATAAATTATAAATGTTTAAAACGGCGGAAGCTTAGTTGCAAATCTAATATATAAATATATACTACACGTGTATATAGTTATGTATACCTAGTCTTATTGATATTAAAGGAAATAAATATTTGACATCATCAAAAATTTATCAAATATTTATCTTAAACATTCCATCATATTAATTCATATTTCATGACAATTAGTATAATTGTTAATAATCGTTGCATCACACATTTTTAAATATTTCATCAGTTTTCGTCATGACAAAGAACTTTGTTTTATTTGAAATGAATAATTATGAAATACCTATTATTAACCTCATGAACACACATTTTCATATTGAATAATTTCATAAAACAAAAGTTACGAAGAATGTAAGCATCCTATTAATTTATTTACATATATTTTGCTTCCCGTTTTCGATCTCGAAAGAAAAGTTAGTTTCGCTTGATCTTTGCCGATTACTTCTCTATCCCTTCATCAGGGCTTATTGATTTTCGTATTAACAGATGTTGAAGCAAAGCTGGATTTTAATGTTCCTCAGCGTTGGAATAACAGCGCTTGCTCCTGCGCGTTATGAGACTGACGTAGAATCTTTGAAAAGTGCCCTAAATGCTGTGAAAAGAAAACAAATAACGTTGGAACCCACATCTCAAGAATATTACAATGATTTTCGTTCGCGAAAGTATCACGAAGGCAACGTCGAGAGAAATTTTGAAATGGAACGACAGAATGATCGAGTTCTACCAGATGAAAATGAAAAACTTGAATTTCTACCTAATGGTGAGAACAATTTAATATCAAATAAATAATGCCATAATCAAACCTATGTTTTATTTTCAAATATATTGTTGTCAACCTCAAGGCATTATTGCAAATTGGCTAATCCTAATCGAAATATACGTAGAAATCATTTTTTCCAAACTTTATTATTGTCAACTTATTACTGTAAACTTGTATTATTTGATGTTTTATACGATGTCAATACGGTAAAGTTACAACTAATCGATCGAAATGCAATACTCGTATTTTGTAATTCCTATTGTGATTTCAGAAAACGGACAACTCGAAATGGTGGATGATGAATTTCAAGGAATAAACGACAAGATGCTTGAGAAGTCGATTCTCAATTATTTGATGAACGCACAAGAACAGGTAAAGTTTACTTTGGTAGCGAGAAAAGTAAAAGCTTTTTAGGGAAGTTTTCTAAGTAACATTTTTGTTTCTCTTGAAAATTATTAATAATAGATTGCTAATAAAATATTAGCATCTTAAACACATGCAGCCTAATAAATTGGCACTAGTCAAATTTCGTGAAAAATTTCATGCAAAATTTCAACAAAAATATCGTTTCTTTAGGAACGCGTACCGTCGTCACTCTTTCGTGAACGTGAACGAAGTTCTAGCCATAAAAGGGCTAACGTAAATGATGATATAGATTTTCACGAAAGAGCGAATTTCATTTTGGAACAATTACGGAATAGCGATCCTTCTGCTTTAAAAGAACTCGAAGAAAATTATTTGGATGTACCAATTTCCGAAAAATATGGAATGAACCAAGGAAAGAAAATCTACGAGTTAGTATATTTAGTATACATACGAGTATATAGTATTATTCTATATTAAATCCTTATTATTGCACAACAGGAACGAAAGTCCGATGTCATGGAGCGAGCTTTTCGACAAAGGAGATTTTTTACCAGGGGAGGGGGCAAGGAGAAACGGCGAAGAGAATGATTTTACGGACAAAGATATGGAACAGGACATCCTTTATTTCTTGCCAACCGAACGAAGAAACATAAACGCGAGATATCCTTTGGGTCGACAATTTGACAAATATCGGACTTTGGGTAAACGTTATCCAGTAGCTAAAAGAAGCCCCAAAGAATTTCAACAGATGGAGAAACAAATGATGGATCCAAAGGTAAATTCCTTTTTTCAAATGGACAATGTATCAGTTTATTAATCGAGTTATATTTTGTCTAGGTTGCACAAGATTTAGGCGCACTATTTGGCGCGCAATCCGCCCTTAAGACTCGCAATTATACACGAGCGCATAATCACGAGCACGAGGACGAGGACGAGCACGAGCACGAGCACGAGCACGAGCACGAAACAATGCAAAACGAAAACGAAAATGATAATATTCGTATCGATACAACGGAAGCTCCTAAAGTAAAGCCTACTTCTAAGGGTCAAAAGGAAAACGTCACAAAGATCAATACATCAAATGGGAAGAGCATCGAAGTGAAGAAGAAGAGCGTCGATTGGTCTCAGTATTTTGGTATCGATCGTAGAAAGAAAAAGACTATCTTTCTGGCCCGGCCAGATACACAAGATCAAGATGACGAGTGGATGTTGCAACGATACTATGAGGTATGTCTACCGAAATACGCTTACCAATGAATAATGGGAACTTTATCCACCAAAGAAAATGACACTAGTTGATTTTTCAATAGAACATGGCCGAAAACTTGAAACATCCCGAAGAAGAATCCGAGACCGAAAGCAATGATAAAAAGGATAAAATCGAGCGTATGTATACGATGTTGAGTGACATCAGTACGGAATTGGAAAAGGTTCGTATAAATAAACAAATTGCATCGGTGCTATTTAATAGAGGAATATTTCAATCATAAAACATTCTATAAATCTCTTAACGTAATTAAATATGCACGTTTATTTTCCCATTTAACTTTGCCTAATAATATTTGATAATATTTTGATTAATCTTCATCATTCATAGGAAAGGGATTACATCATAAACAAACTGGCAGCTGCATATTCGTACAAAAAAATTCGTAAGGCACTGGACGGACTCCACAACATTCTCGCCATTCAGAAAGAAATTCAAAATAATTTAACGCAAAACTTTCGTAATGACGGGACTATTATGAAAAGTGAAAATAAGCGGACTGGCTTCAATGCAGGCACTAAAGAAGGTAGATCATTTGACATATTCATACGAGCAAGATTAGAATCGCGATGAAAATAAAGCTATTAATATATTTTGATCATTTTTTGTTGATTTGTTCAGCCTCGGACGTAAACAAGAAATGTCCTGATTTAGAGAAAATCGAACGACACTGTAAGGCTGCCTACAATTTTGCTGGGGATAACAATCAGATGTTTTACTTTCCATGCGTTACGTATCAAATATGTAAAGCTTGCGTATGTACACAACTTGCCTAAATAGTTCGTAGCTAAATCTCTTGATATTTATGCACATTTGTATTTAAAGTCCACATGCTCTAATATATCTTATTGTTTTCTTTTACTTTGGGTTTTTAATAGGAAAATTGGTGGTTCAATACTAAATTCAAAAATAATTGCTATCGATTCTGTAACAAACTTGAAAATCAAACACCGCTTAATGATATTTCAAATATATTACAAATATTAATATTAACCTTATGAACCCATGATCAGTCGCGGTCACTAGTCGAATGAAAAATGATAAAAGTAATCAATTACTGTTTCGACATATTTTTGCCTTGACATCGGTTTTGACAATTATTTCATTGTCAATAACTCAATTTGTTACAAGTAAGGTGGTAACAATGTCCAAGACATTAGGAACAAATCTAATTCATAGGATTCATATAAAGGAATAAGTAGAATTTTGTTCGACTTATACTTTATAATATGAAATTGTCAAATTTTCTTGCGCGTTACAGGTACCGAATGAAACAGAAGAGGAATGTTTAACGAGCTTTGCGTTAGAAGCGGCCAAAGCTTGCGACGCTATCGTTAAGGAGAAAGGAATTTACAAGGAGCTCCAATTCTGTATCGATACGATCCTAAGTTCAATGAAATTGCAGCCAAGCATCGGTATCTCCGAACAATGTCGCGTCAACAGGGAATCTTGTTTACGTCGATATCATTCTCGTTATCGACATCGTTATCCAAGCTTTCCTTTTTATGTCGATTTCTTATTTCGTAGGGATTCCGATTTATCGCAAACGTCTGACTGATAAGGGATCACTCGAATCTCGAATAGTTAGTCGTATTGCAAAGGTGGATAAATAAATTGCCAGCCAGAAGAGAAACAAAAGTAACGCGTGCGCTCGAATCGGAACGCGATCTTCTATAAATTATTTTTTTATATTTTTAATCGCATCCTTCTAGCTAAATAGTTCTTCCCTTATTTTCTCTGCAGTGCGGTAGCGAACGCTTTAAGGATTCAAATATTATTCCAAATTTACAGTTTTTATTAAAACAATACAAATATAATCTCAATCGTCAAAAATAATCGTCAAAATCGATTCGAGAGCACGTCATTAGCACATCATTAGCACATCATTATTTATATTTTATTTTATTCTGTTCGTAATACAGAACTCGTCTGAATATTGGACTTTGTTTTATGGATAAGTATAATATTTTACAACATTAATGACGTACATATGTATATACATATGTATACGTCCACTTACTTCTTTCCTTGGTTTCTTTTTTCCTCTTTTCGTCGAGAAATGCTACTCGTCTGGACAATTAGGATTATTTTTTCATCTTATATATATAAAATATAATTATTTTTGAAACAAGGAAGAAATCATGTACGAATTATAAAGACAATAATTAATAACTAAAATTTATGACTATTTTTATGTACTGATCTTACATTATCATTTTTTATACGGTTATCCTTATTAACAATTGATCGTAATAGAATTCTTCCTTAAAAGATAATGATAAGCCTTGATATATTATATGTATATGTATTAGAAATCCGATCAAAGTCCGGATGAGTGGCTCGAACGAGGACAAAATTGAATAATATATTTTATGTGAATGTACAAAGTTAACAAGTTACAAGTTAAATGCTGCAATTAATATAACCAACCTAGAACTCTTCCAAAATGCATTCTTATCAGCAATACAAATGACAAGTACGAAAAAGATGTAGTCCAAATTCTTTATATCATTCCAACACCTATATATTTTTTTCAACACGTATTATATGCAAAAAAAACACCCCAAAAAACAAGGAAAATGAGAAATCTAAGATTTAATCTGTAATACAACACAAATCCTCTTGTTTCTCTTACTTATTATCAAACTTTTATCGATAAAGAGCATAACAATATATACATTAATGTCTATAATAAAAAATGTTTAAGAATCAATAGTAAATATCGATTATGTTTTTGTGCAGTTTTTGAACCCATCTCTTATGGCAATTATATGTTTGCGTCGATGTTATAATTATATTCTACATATAGGTATATATCTCTATGTTAGGTGTCCTATCTGAATATATATAATAAATATATTAAAGCATATATATATATATATTTCCAAGAGATTTCCAAGAGAATAACATTACTTTGAAATAAATATATATTGTAATAAAAAAAAAAGCGAATAAAGAAATATCTTCTGGTTAATTTTGCCTGTCTTCTACATATTTGGCACGAAAAGGACAACTGAAGTACCACGTTCCTTGTAACTCCAATGAAACTGACTAACAGGATGTATTTTTTTGTTTTTATTATTACTACTTTTTTTCTGAAATTTATTGTTTACGCAAAATAAATATTCGATAAAACCATCATTGGTGATTATATTTCATATTAGGTACACTCTACACTCTAGATGTGTATTATGTTCCATACTACATGCACATGTACGTATTTTACCAGAGAAAAAATAATAATTATATCAATATAAGAGAACAATTATTTGATTGTAAAGTTTTTTTTAAATATTTATGAAATTAAGAATAATGAAGAACAATTTTTGTTCAAAAGTTGAACACTCTTGAATCATTTAAAAGAGAATTTATTTATATCTGTAGATTTATATTTCTTAACATTTATATTAAAAAAATATTTATCATGTTTCCTCGTTAGTATAGTGGTTAGTATCCCCGCCTGTCACGCGGGAGACCGGGGTTCGATTCCCCGACGGGGAGTTTGTATTTTTTTCTTATTTTCTTTTTATTTTTCACATTTATTATAAGATTTGTACTTTTTAAATTCTGAAATACAAATGAATTAATAACAAATAAAATAACAAATCGTTAAATTCGAAAAACTTAATATCTCTCATAATTAAACAATAATTATAAATAATATCAAGATTAGTATTTTGGGTGGGGCAATATAAAATAAGCGAGGGAGAGCAGAATGTAATCGGATTAGACAAGTAATTAGTATGCATATTGAAAAGAAAAACTTGTATTCGATAGAAACTGTTGCAGTATATCTTATACCTCAATAGAATGCCAAAAGACTGACACATCTATCACGGCGTGCGTGGCAAACGTGAGTGACATTAATCACTCTCATTCGTTTGCGCACGCAGCACACTCATGCGCACGCAGCACACGCACGTGCACGACATCAAACGGTAATTGTTGGAATCGCAAGACGTCTAATGGAGTATATATACCTATTAATAGAATTAAATAATAACATATTTAATAGAAAATCTATTGTAAAAATTTAAAAATATTGCTATACGGAGTGAAATTTTTCAAATTATTCTTATAAAAGTAAAAAATATTTAATTATTATGTTCATTTAATAATAATTGATTAATTGCATATAAATGTAATTAATAAAAATCATTGTTTTGTAAAATTGATATTAAATGTAATATATTTATTATCAGTGATATTTTTTTACATTTATAACTATATCTTTTAATTATATTATAATGTTTTTGCAGTTATATATATATATATATGCTGAAAATACATCATAAAGTATTTTTAACGACACGTATCTCCAAAATATTATATATAACAATTTCCTAGAATTTAAGCAAAAATACGACCAAGATAACAATGCTTAGTGTACAATGGTGTTAAATTTTTCCTGATACAATGTGTGGTATATTTTGTTGTATCTCACAGTGTTCGGATGCAAATGTTAATCATTCGGATCAGGTGTAATATCTGAATTTTAGAAACAATAATTATGTTTCATCTTTTTTTATGATTGTATCGGTAATATATCATTGTTTGATTTGTATTTTTCAGTGGGATAGATGTAAAAATCTTCTAATTTCTAGAGGTCCGGATAAATTAGTGAAAAATTTTATATCATTAACCGATATATGGTGCTGTCATTTGGCGGCTAGTATATTGTGGACACAAGGTTTGAAATTAGCGGAACAACCGCTAATAGATCCAAATGGTAATATTCTTCTGTGGAACGGAGATGTTTTCTCTGGATCTTTGGTAAATATTTATTTCTCTATAAAGTTATCATGTATATACTTATAAGAAACAAAACATTAAACCAAATTGTAGGCACAAAATGATACATCCGACAGTATTACTGTTTTAAATGCATTTAGCAAATCTCTTAATATTACGAACACACTTCGGCATATCCAAGGACCATATAGTTTTATATATTTTCAAAAATCAAGCAAATTGTTATACTTTGGACGAGATATTATTGGAAGACATAGCTTGCTTTTACAGTTAAATAATGAAAAAAGTACGTTAACTATAACGTCTGTCGGTGGCAAATGTTTTCAAAATATATTGGAAGTTCCTGCAATTGGTATATTTGTAATAAATTTATCCGATGTAAAGATAAATCTTACTTGTTATCCATGGAAAGAACCAGATGTTATATTTGAAAATGTCATTGAAGAATTGAAAAATGCTTTAGATATAAACATTAATGTCAAAGATACAATAACGGAAAAGAAATTGTCTAACAAGTTAATAACACATTTAAATCCGATTGGCAAAGATTTAGATTATTTAGAAACTTATCCTTGTTTGAAAGACTTTAATAATACGATAGAGCATTTATTGAAAAATGAAATTGTTTCTGGTAGAGTAGAATTCTTATCTAAACTTTTACATGAAGCTGTCGAAGTGCGAGTAAAAACAAAACCAAATTTCTGTAAGAATTGTATTTCAATAGTATTGAGAGGAGAAAGTATTATCTGCAATCATGGAAAAGTAGGTATATTGTTCTCTGGTGGACTCGATTCAGCTATATTGACATTGATTGCCCATAAGTATGTACCACAAAATGAACCTATTGATTTGATAAATGTTGCATTTGAAAAAACAACAATCGCATCTCAACAAGATAAGCATATTAAAAATACTCATTTGTATGTCTCCCAAGTATACGATGTTCCCGATAGAAAAACAGGGAGACAAACTCTTTCGGAAATATTACAAATTTGTCCGAATAGAAAGTGGAATTTTGTTGAAGTATGATATCAAATTTATTACGTTTTTAATCAAAATGATAATTATATTAACGGAATGATATCAATGCCTTTATTATTGTAGGTAAATGTAACACAAGCAGAACTAACAAAATATCGATCTTCTCGTATCAGCGATTTACTTTATCCTCTCTGTACTATCTTAGATGAAAGCTTAGGTTGCGCTATGTGGTTTGCGAGCCGAGCAAAAGGCATAGTTTCAAATACGGATATAGGAGTATACGAGTCTCCGTGTCGTATACTCCTTCTAGGTATAGGTGCAGATGAATTATTCGGCGGATACATGAGACACAGAACGATATTGAAACATAAGGGTTGGAATGCTTTAAAACAAGAGTTGAATGATGAATTGGCCAAAATTTCTCAAAGAAATTTAGGAAGAGATGATAGAATTATTTCCGATAATGGTAGGCAATCCAGATTACCATATCTTGATGAAAATGTAATACAATACGTTCAACAATTGCAACCATGGGAAAGGTATATACAAAAAATCAACGAAATTTATCATTTATCTTTTATAATAGCGTCAATGTTCCTTAATTTTTTTTCTAGATGTTTTCCAACAGAAAAAATGCCACCCGGTTTAGGAGATAAACTGTTGTTACGGTTATTGGGGCGTAAGCTAGGCCTTCAAAATACTGCTACTTTTCCCAAAAGAGCTTTTCAATTTGGATCTCGGATAGCTAATGGTAAAGAAAATGCTAAGGATATTTCCCAACGATTATAAAATAAGTACAAGACGATTAAGTTAACGCGAATATATTATTAAAAATAAAAAAACAATAATTCTTGATAAAACTATTAATCTTATGAATGAACAGCGAGAAACTTTTTAATGCAATAAATTAAATACCTTTTTATTCTAAACTGATTCAATTAAATACCCATTTCATAAGTCTGAAAGCATTAAAATGAATATACATATATATATATATATATCAATATACATATTGCAATATATAATCGACATTTGAAATAAATCCAAAATTATTATCTGTTGTACTCCAGTACTGTAAGCGGCAGATCTTCAGAGTTCATTGTATTCTGATTTGTAATATATGTGTTATACGTTTCTTTTAAAGCATTGCTCTTTGCCCGATCATTTACAAATTGTGGTAACAAAGAGGACATTACCTCAGATTGAAATTGACAATTCATACCACCTTCCCGATCTTTTCTATTTGTCAAACCAGAACTGTAACTGGTTGAACTACTTTTGTTATCCATATTTGTTATATTTGTCCTATTATCATCACTGTTAATTACAGATTTGTCTGATACAAAGGCACTTCCATTTACAAAAACAGGGATTTCATGCGATTGAACACTTTCATTAACATTTTCGTTTTGACCAAAATTTTGTAAAAGCAATGGTAATTCCTTAGATGATACTTCTAAATCTTTATTAACATTATGAACAGACGATATAAGAATATCGCTAGCGCTCAAATTTATATCATCTTTTTTGGCGTTATATTCTCCCAAAGTTTTGATACTTTCTGTATTATTTCTCATTAAACAAGGATCCATAAGATCCACAGCATTTGAAAAATATATAATCTCTCCGACGTCGACTCTGTATGATGACGATGACAACGATTCAAGCGTCTGCGACAATTTACCATCTTCATTGTTATCTAATTGATTTTTGTCATGCATAAGTTTTGCTAAAGTATTATCTGAAATATCAATAATTGCAGCAGGTCCGTACTCTGGTCGCTTTGGTAAATCAACTGCAAACCATAATTCAAGTATTAATCATAAATTTGATTTTATAATAATTAACTTGGTAAAAATAATAGATCATTTGGAAACCTTTTAAAATTTCACCAGCAACATAATCAGCGGCTCTAAACAATTCTGCTTTAATAAGGAGATTGAGTAATATTCCCAACGTAGGTCTTAATCTACCCATTGTACTCCATTCTTCCAATAAAATTTTAGCACCATTTTCTCGATGTTTTTCTACTACTTGATCAATTATGCTGAAGACAATAAAATTCATATTGTTTATTAAAGTAAATTATTACATAGATAATTTGCATAAATATTAATGTAACACCAATGCCTACCTAATATGTTCACTATTAAACCTTGGTGTATTGGTATCATCTTGTGGAATAATTGCCATTAATTGTTTCCATGAGTCAGAAACATTTAGTATTTTTGCAAGCGTATATTTATGTGTTGGTTGTAACTTCCGAAGTTCTGTATTTGAATTAACGATTGAATTAGCCATTATTATAAATGTGCAATAATTTCATCTATCTTTTTTTCTTATTATACCAACTAACTTAGTTCTGCCGTAATAGTGCGTATCAAACTCTATGACACTAATGACACATGAGAATCTATGACAGGTAGGCAATTATTTAAAATAGCGCGTGGTGACGCAACAATCGTATTTACCACGTCGTCGTCAGGTCGCTACGAAATCTACCTACTCTGTAGTTTATGGAATACAGTTGAAATTATTTGGTATAATCAACGTATACGGTGCGTTCCACTAAGCGCTCACAACGATCAAAATGCTCCTTTAGTCGTTCCACATAACAACCGCGGTCGTTGTGGTCGCGGCGAAAACGTCACTCATGACGTCATTACTAACGCTCACGCGAAGCCCGCAACGACCCATCTGAAAACGTGGGTCGTAGTGAGCGTTGAGAAAATTAGCGGTTTTTTTGAAACTGACAACAATAAAAATGGCGATCGTGAAACTGACATGAAGGATTACAGATTAAATCTTAACCTCTTTAATCTTTTACTTTCTTTTCACTACCTCGCCATTTGTATTATTACCTCCACGCTCAAAACGCACCATAGTCCATTCCACTTGAATTTAGGACAGTAACGCTCGTAGGTAAGTGGAACGGGAAAAACTGTGGTCGTGAGCGTGATCGTTGTGAGCGCTTAGTGGAACGCACCGTATATAATAATCACTGGTATAATCACTAGTATAATTTATCTAATGCAAGATTCGAGCGGGAAATTCTTAATTGAGTTAAAATATAATTGTAATCAAAGAGAGTATGGAAAGTTTTTTGAAAGTAGGTAAATTGAGTGCAGGAGACACGAAGAAACCTTCTTCTTCTCGTACAAAGGAAGAACGAGACGAGTCGTTAATACCCTGGGTAGAAAAATAGTAAATGTTTTCTTCTATCATCTAACCTTATTACATTTCATTAATTATTATTTTTCCATATCACCTAACGATATTTAGTTTTATAGTACGTAGTCTTGAGTTATTGCTTAATTCTGATTTTTTTTTTTTTTTTTTTTAACTATTTTTATATGTCATTAATCATTATAGTCGACCAAGAACAGTTGAAGATGTAGTTGAGCAAGCAGAAGTCGTAGAAGTATTAAAACAATGCATGGATGGTGGTGACTTTCCAAATTTATTATTTTATGGTCCACCTGGTACTGGTAAAACTAGTACTATTCTAGCAGCGGCTAGGCAATTATTTGGTACGATGTACAAAGAAAGAATTTTAGAATTAAATGCTTCCGATGAAAGAGGGATACTAGTAGTAAGGGATAAGATCAAATCATTCGCCCAACTTACTGCTGGAAGCATAAAAAAAGAGTAAGTATATAATCTTCTTTAAGAGCATTTTTCTTTCTTTTAATATATATATATTACACAGGCATGAGTGTTTGACTCCGCTTTAAGAATGTTTTTCAATTTTATTACGATCGGTACTTATAGCAATTTGATGTTTAAAATAGATAATTGTAAAAATTAGACTTAATATCATTGAATGATAACAATTTGTATTGTCATTTACTAATAAATTATACAACGATGTATATTATTTTATCAATTTTCCCTATTTTTTGTTTTGTGGAGTTAATTCATTTGACATGTGTATGGCTTGTATATATATATATTTATTACAGATATTCATTGCCAATGATGTTTCAGTAAAAGGTCTGAGAGATTAATTGAAGTAACAATCGTACAATTATTTAGAGTAGAATTTGCTTAGTTGTTTTCAGGAGTTTGAACAAAGTATCTTCTTAACTCTTATTACCAACTAAATATAAAATTGCTTGAAGGATTATAAGAAATATTAGAGATATTATTAACTTTTGATCTCTTATTGCAAGCAGACATAGTAGTACTATGTTTTAACATTGTACTTGTTGCTTTGTTATTCTCTATGATAACAATATTACACTGAGGCATATATAATTTATTGACCATTTTATCTCTCGAATATTATATATATAAATTTAGTATATATAGATTTAAGATATATTTATATAAATTAATTTCATATTTTTTAGCGGAAACAAATGTCCTCCATTCAAAATTATTATTTTGGATGAAGCAGACAGTATGACTAATGCAGCGCAAGCAGCTCTTCGTCGTACAATGGAAAAAGAATCTCATAGTACGCGCTTTTGTTTAATTTGTAATTATGTATCAAGGATCATAGAACCTTTGACGTCACGTTGTACAAAGTTTAGATTCAAGCCACTTGGGGAAGAGAAAATTATTGAACGATTGGAATATATATGCGAGAAAGAAGATTTGAAAGCTGAAAAGCCAGTTCTTGTTAAAATTGTAGAAGCTTCGGGTGGTGATTTAAGACGTGCCATTACTTGTTTACAATCTGTCGCAAGATTAAAAGGGAAAGGCATAGAAGTTACGATCAATGACGCGCTTGAAATTATTGGTGTAATTATACCCAATTCTTTTTATTAACTTCAAAATAATAATACATTTTTTGTGAACTGAATTAGTAGTTACCATTCTGAAGAAGCCTAACTTGCGTTCAAATCTGAAGCTTTATATATTTTATAAAAAGAGCTTTAAAGACAAAAGAACTTTATAATATTTTTATCATATTTAAACAAAAATAAGGAGCAAAACAATACTTTTTAATAAATTAAATTGAATAACAATTTACTCTTATAGACTCTAGCCGTTTTAAATAACAGTTACTTTAACCGATGCTATATTTACTATAAACAGCTATTATATACAATTTTATTATATACCCGATGTTTGTTTATCCAAGTCAGGTTTCTTCTCGAAGAATTATATATTTACACACATACACACACGTTATTTACTATAATTAATATTTATTTATACAGTTTGTTCCCGACGATTGGCTTGACAATTTAATGGATGTATGTAAATCTAAAGATAATAATAAGGTTGAAACATTCGTAGAAGATTTTTTACTAGAAGCTTTCGCAACTTCACAGGTATTTTTTTAATTTTTTGCCAAGACATTTTGTTATTTACATTTTATTGACATTTCTTTTAGGTAATAGAACAACTAAACGAAAGAATAATTTATTCCAATGAATTTTCGGATAAGCAAAAGGCAATAATAGCAGAAAAACTTGGGGTAAATAAAAATATAAGAGATTTTTAAATATATAATCATCTTCATCTATTGTCCCCCTCAAAGTTTGATACAACATTACGGAGAAATACCGTGTTTAAAAAAAAAATGAAATACATAGGGTATAATGCGTATGAGTAATATAACAATATTTTTGTTATGTTTTAGCAATGTAGCTACAGATTATTGGAAGGAGGCAGCGAATATATACAACTTATGGACCTTTGCTATTGTATTATAAAGGTATACAATTGAACAAAAGTTTTCTTGCCAAATAAAAATCAAACGTTTTTTTTTATCATTTACATGGAATTGTATGTTTAATATATACCTACATATATTGAGAATAAAATAAAAATATTTTATATTTTTTTAACATAAGTATTGAAGAATATTGAATAGTTCTATTATGTGATCTAATCACTTTTCTTTGAGTATCAAAGTCGCCAGGAATCTGTATGAGCATTTCTGGCGGTACAGCTAATTAAATTAAAGTAATAGAAGAGAGATGCACGTATATATTTTTAAATAAAGTTAAATTTCTTTCAAAATGAAATTATTTTTAATGTTGTTATATCCAACAAATAATGAGTATAAGTATTATTATCAATCTTATAAAGTGTTGAATTTGTGTTTTATGTATGATTCCAAGTGATGCGTCATGACCATTTGTTTCTGAAAAAACAAAATTTTAATTATATTAACTATTTACTTGTACAATATCATATATAAAAATGTATTTTACATGCTATATTTTAAAATAACCATATTTAAAATTCTATACTGTACTTATCCAATTATTAAGAGGGTAAGGAACGTAGAATTTTAAACTTTTTATTTCTCTCTCACTCTCTACGTTCCCTCACCGTAATCATAATATTGCGGTTCTTCTGTTGGTTCTTCCTCATCGCATTCTTCAGTAACAGATCTGATTCTGATATTTTCTTTTCTCGAATGCTGCCTTTGCTTCTTACTTGGATAAGGGAATATGATACGATTGAAACTTGTCATGCGAGCTTTAGATCCAATGCTTTGATGTCCCAACTAGAAAAATCAGGAAGGAAACAAATAAATACTAACCATAATCATGGTATTCGACAGTTGACTCCGTGTCGGTAACCTCATTGTCCTCTTCCTCCTCTAAATTTTCGATATTATCGTTTTCTTCTTTTCCTGCAGTCTCATCGTCAATCTCATAATCTTCTTCTTCGTCGTTGTCGTCGTCGTTGTCTTCGTCGTCGTCGTCATCATCGTCATCGTTATTCTCACCATCATTTTCAATCTCATCTTTATTTTCACTCATGATCGAATCTTTATATCGTCTATATTCTTGATAAGCAAATTTGTTTCCTTCTGCACTGTAATCCGTATTTCCATATCCATACCTATCATGATTTATGCTTTGCAAAAGGTGTCGACCCAACGATCTCATAGATTTCATATATTTTGGAGTTACTAACAGGATCTCTTTTTGGAAAACAATTTTGTCAAATTTTGTCAATCTCTGACATTTTATGTTTACAAATGGTATAGAAACATTGTTTGCAAGTACCTTTAAAATCATTATTATAAAATACTCCATTGCTTTTCCGGCTATTGTTATTTAATCCTTTTTCTAGAGTGCATATAGATATATTCTTTTGGAAATAGTCATCAATGGAAAGATAAATTTCATTAATATCGAGGACCTTTGGAGCTGAATAATTGTTGACTATTTGTTGTTGTGGAATAATTACAAACAAAAATTTATAAATATATAAGCTTTTTTATGAGCTTGTACTTTGACGTTAATTTATACCGTACCTTCTGCGAGCATATAATTGAATTTCCTGAATTCTGTCAATCTCAATGAATGTAAATTTCCAAAATTGAAAATTGAACAATTGTGTAGTTGAAAAAATAATTTGATCGCGTAATAACTATTAATAATCTTCATTATAAATGGTAAATCGTCTAATTCTACAAAAACCTAAATGTGTATGATGAAACAAATATAAAAAAAAGTAAATTAGATTTTTTTTTTTTTTTTTAATATTTAAAATAATCATTATTATGTATTAATAATTGTGAAATTGATCTCTTACATTATAAAAATAATCTCTGTTCTCTAAAAAAGCATATTGCTCTACTTGCAAACGTCTAATCCAAAATGTTATATCATAATTCGATAAATGATATATTTCTTGTGACATAGCAGAGAATTGATCCTCATCATTTACGAGTATATCATTGTTCCGACGAATTTTACCATGCGATAGAATAAGGAAAGTTAAAAATAATGCAAAGATAAGCATAGCATTTGTATTGACATCAAAGAACTTGGCAGATCAAAACATTTGCATCCATTTGCGTTTATTTTTCGCACAATAAGTCTTAATCGCAATATATATATATATCGATTATTATACTCCTCGCATGATTTATTGTCTATATATATATATATTTACAGATAAATAATCAATATTATTCAAAACATATGATTTTGAGACTGTGGTTCGAAGTAACATATTATAATTCAACGAAATTATAATTAAGAAAGTTCCTATCTCTCATTGTTAATAATAATAATAATAATAATAAGTTAATATAAAAAGGCATTTAAAAATGGTCACACGGTAGTAAAATTGGCGCCGTGGTTTATATTTCCCGCGTCGGCTATAACGCGCTCTATTGACAAAGTCATAAACTAAGAGAAAACCCGTTTCGATTAATTCTTTGGATCAGTCGCAAATCATTCATTTCCTGACTCCTGGTTGAACTGGTAGTTCTGTGTAGACTTGGTAGAAATATTGGAACGTTTTCAGGGTTAGAGAAAAGAGTGTTATTTAGCGATCTTTATGAGTGATAACGAAGTCAAAATGAAGAGTAAGATCGACGTGCGGTTATATACGAATATAAGGAATGCATCGTCGAGACTCGAGGTCAGAACTAAGTGTAAGAACAGTGACGATGAATCGTGATCTTAGTGGTTGGCCTTGTCCACTTCAGCAGTCGTCGTCATCGTCGTCGGCAGCAGCGTTTCGTCCTATTCACCGCTGTTGTCTTTTTAACAGCGGTGCAACAGTCGATGAAGAAGAGTTGGCAGAGGAAGAAACACAGAAAAAGAGAGAGAGAGAGAGAGAGAAGTGGAGCAATAGCAACGGCAAAGACAAAAGCAAAGGCAACTGCAACAGCATTAGTAATAGTAGTAATTATAGCAATAAGAGTAAAAACAAATTAACACAACAACAACAACAACAACAGCAACAACTGGGAGCGCCAAAGATCGCATGGAATGGCAGCGGCCCTGAAGAAAAACCATTCTCGGAGAAGATTGGCCGCATTGACATTTCTATCGAACATCTCTCTCGATGGAAGTCATCGTGATACAAAACTGGCAATTCTATCGCGCAAGCCCACCTTTCCTGGGGCCGGTGGAATCGGGGGTGAAAGAAAGGTTGCAGAACACGCGCGAACTTTGAGCGACGGTGGGGAAAACCGCAGACGAAGTTCGACATCGAGATTCGAATTCGAAGAAGATTCCTTCGAGGAAACAAGCTCACCTTTATTATTGTCCTCGAGACAGTATATTGACAGCTCAATGACTATCGATCAAGATGAAAAACAATGTTACCGACGAGATTGTCCGTCTGGTGCTGATTCCTCGTCCTCGCCTCGCGACTCTCATAAACAAATTTATTGTGCAAACAGTGCAAGGCGCAGAGATTCGATTGATTGTTCAGATGAATCTCTTGTCCCCGCTAAGGTGGCTGTAGCTGCCTTCCTAGAACAGGAAAGAAACTATCCACATTTACCTTCTTCTGGATTGCATACCGGTTCTTTTAGAGAACGGTAAAATCTTCCCTTTTTTTTTATTTTTTCATCGTGTGTTATTCTCAAAACTTCATTCCGACTCGTTATATAAGATATATCTGTCTTTGTTAATTATCTAATCCCTACTATGGTAATCTTTCTCAGCCAGCAATCGATGGTTTTTACGATAATCGTCATAGTTGATTAAAACCATCTAAGTTGATTATATTTTCTCTCCTCCTCTTGTCCCTCTCTGTTTTATACGAAATAATGGATTTTAGGGTTGTTCTATTTTAACTATTTTTATTTGTTAATATTATGCATGATTGTCGATTGTAAATATGTATAAGATTGTCGTATACACTGTCGTATTTGAGAATTATTTTAATGGCTATTATTATAATGCGTTTTTGAAGTCTTCTATAATTCGCAAATTCTATTACAAGCCTGATTATACGTTTAAAACATAATAGAAAAAAAACTATTACGTCTCTTAGTGTACATATTCAAATCTTATTACAATTAGGGAATAATTTGATTTACCGACAAATGATTTCAATGATAATTTATTTCTTATTGATTCAGGATTCAGGACAATTAAAAATCCTATTGATATCATTGAAAGATACTCTTCATTTTTTGACCAGAAATAATATTATGTCATAGTTAAAACTGGGTCATTGAGGAGACCTGTGTTACATGCAAAAAATAATAATCGCAGTTATCTCTCTATAATTTATTTCTTTTTTTTGCATAGAACATATTGTTATTATAAAAAATGTAGCTGTTCATTTAAAAAAATTAAGTCGATCTGGAAACCTTACACAAAAAAAAAATAAATAATTGCTATAATATATCTCCCCCTTTAAATTAGACAACTCTAGTCTAAAGAATTGTCCTCAAACTTATTGTTTTTCGAGATAAAAATTCGTAATGATATAGACAGTATAAATATATTATAATATTGCATTATTATATTGTATCAAGTCAATGATTTAAGCTTACAAAAAAAGCATTAAAGAGACTTTATTTGTGTGGGTGTGCGCGCGTGTGTGTGATGAATTATATCATATATGGTACCATTGGTTTTTAAATGCATTAATAATAAAATCTATTAAGATAACGTGAATGATTGATGCTGCAGCACTGGAACAACTGGGAGCGATTATTCCTTGCTCGAGAGACGCGTTGGCTCGTTGCAATATAAAAAACGGATAAGTCATCAAACATCAACGCTATCCGAAGATATAAAGCATCGATGTAATAGCAGCAATGAAAGCATTGGTTCGCTTCGTTCCAAATCGCAATCAACATTTTCTAAGGCAAAGGGAAAATCATCTTGCAACAATAACATACAACAAACCGGTACTACTAATAATATACCAGAGATTACGAAAGCGATACGATTGGTACAACGACCAGCTAACAGACAAAAATTTGGAGACGACAGGCTTGTTTTGGTTTCTGATAAATACGTTCCATTTTTAATATTCTCGACTCTTCCTTACAACAAGGGTCGTTCAAGTTGGTAAGTAGAGATAAAAAATGATAATAAAAAATATCTAATGAATAGATAAAACATTACACTGTACAGTGTGTTCCACGTATATAAGATGTGAGAAGAAAAAAACTTGGTATTAAAATCAACTTTTACAAATGAAACTGTAAAAACAAATATTTCGCTTATAACGCATGTTTTTAAAAGGATATTGATTTTTGTATCAAACTTCGTACTCCAATTTGAACAATGAATTGACACATTCAGATATTTTAGATTTTACATTTGAAATTACTTATTTTCGTCCATTGAGCGAAACACTGTGTTCTGGTGATAATATACAGAGTCTCTCTCTACATTGTTTTATATAATTATATTTATAATAATATTTATAATATTTTTTATTTATAATATATATTATTTATAGGTCCGAACTGAGGAGAGATACAGGAAAAAGGAAAAACGTTTCATCTCAAAGACCGCTGTCTGCTATCAATGACACTATCGATCCATTTGGTCTTCTTGGTATAGAAAGAGCTAAAGACGGACAGGTATATACTTAAATGATCAATTTACGATTCGTTATTTTTATTTATTTTACCATATATTTCCGAAATCGATTATATCGTGATTCCATTAATAAGAATCCGAAATTACTATTACTCATATATACTTTGCATTTTAAGTAGTCATTAGTGCAACTTTGAGAAAAAAGAAATTCCTTGAAGAACAAAAATTGCTCTTTTTCTTTTTTTAATCAAACAATTATGTTAACGATATTTTTTTTCCTTTAGAAATATTACATTCTGATCTACCATATTATCAGTTCATCTAGACACTATAATTTAGTAAGAAGCAGAAGTTACTGTAGAATCGCTAAAAAACCAGTAATAAAATTATACATTTATATATTTTTTATTAAAACAGTTTTTTATTTATTCTCAATTGACATCGAATAGTAATTAAAAATATAAAAAAGAGCAAAAAAATTAAAAAGAATAATTAAATAGAAATTAATTTTGACTGATCTGGTAGAAATGGATGATATACACATAACGGATTTCGGATATTTACGATACTATTTATATAAAAGAGATTTATTTTTAGTATTAATTGTATCCAAATCTCTCTCTGCATTGCATTTTTTTTTTCATTTTCTTCTTTTTTGTTTTTTTTTTTCTTTCCTTTTTCTATTCCAGGAAATATCCTACGAACGATTGTTGGTGCCATCGAGACAATTTCAAAGAGAGAGAAAATTATTCTCGACCGAGAGTGAAACGATAGAATTATCTCATGTTATAGCAAATAAGCATCACCCGGTACAAAGGTATTTCTTCAAGATAAAGCAATTTTATTTTTAGAAGAATGTTTCAAGTATGTGTCCAAAGCATCTATCTACATTTGTATTAGCACGCACATTATATACGTTGCCATATTTAGAATGAATTATTACCGTTCACTAATTTCATTCGTGTATCAGTTATCTTTTCTTATTAATATCGTGCGTTAAATTATTTTTCCCTTTAATCTCTTTTTTTCTCACAACTAATAGAAATTTCTAATATCATTACTTCATAAGTTTCTCGTATCGTACATTTTTTAAAATAATAGTATTATAATAATATAAGATACTTTTTTCACATTCAATCACATTCTTTAACAACATCGCTTCAAAATCATCTTTTTGCAGGACAAAAACTATAACATGGAACTTGGATCACACGAAATGGTAAAAGTTATTTTAACCCTCTCCCCCTCCGCAGAAAAAAAAACAAATATAATTGTAGACAAAGCAAGCTAGGATTGTAAGCGAAATTTGTTTTTTTTGCACGACATGTGCTTGGTGTAGACCAGTCGTAAAATTAGCACTCTGCATAGAAAAAAGATTCCTTATTATGGATATCTTATTTTACATTTGTATTTATATTTATTTTTTTCCGTTCATCGACGGAAAATAAATGGGGGAAATAAGTAATAGATTTAAAAGTATTTAAAACTAAACTGTACAATAAGAAAATTAAAGATACACTAATATAGAAATTTTGAGTTTGAGTTAGCGGATTATAGAATGTTCTTATTTAACAAAGAATAATTAAAAAATAAGATATTAGATAAGATATTTCTTGATTATTTAATTATAATGATGATCGTATTTTAATTATATTTAAATTAAATAAATCCTATGTAAATAAGTAAATATGATAAGTCCTAAAATTCATTTAAATATTACTTAAATGGCATTAATAATTTCTTTCATCTGCACATTATTCGCACAGTGGATGTATGGTCATTCTTACACAAAAAGCCTTACAAAAAATTCTTACACTTTAAGGGAGTATTTCAATTTTTCGTGTCAATAAGTAGTAGCAGCCTTTGGAAATCTCCTTCTCGAAAAATAAAAAAACACACGGTATTTGATTATCATATCTATTAATTTTTAAAGAAAATAAATATAAAAATTTATAGAGAGTTGTAGAGAGAAATTACATGTATTTAAAAGTTGTATCGCTGAGTGTGTAGGGATTAATGGCATTTTATCTTTTTGACACAAAAAACCAGAATACAACTTAACATAAGTTTTTATTTCTTTCGTAAATTTGTCTATTACTTATAATGGTCAGTAACTTTGATATACATATTTAATATACAATAATATTACATGTGTGTTACTTAGTTTAGTTCACTATTATTATTATTATTTTTACCATCCGCATTGTATTTTTTACTATATGCATGTCAACATATGTAATTTTATTTATAGGAGTATGTAAATCTTACATAATAGATAATTAATATTTTTTGTTATTATTATTACAGGTGTCTTTCATATGACACAGCAACACATCGTTTGCAGCACAATGCTCCTGAATCTCCTCCGTTGTCTTTTGGTGCTGATCCTATCAGTAAATGTATATAATAATATATGATCTACTTGATAATTAGCAAAATGACTAGTTTTTAAATACCATTTCTAATAATTTTTTATTCAATTTATTTAGTTTATGATTGGGACGAACAATCCCTGCAATACAATCCAAATTTGTTAGATGATCCAGAACTTATTGCAGGGAAGCATAGAACTCTCCTGACTTTTACGTCATATATGGTATTTATTTATTTATATATATATATACATAATACAACACGCGCGCGTGCGTGTAAACTGTTTTTGTTAGTAAAGTAAAAGCAAGTTATTGTCAAGTGAATATTTTTCTCTTAAATGTTATCATATAATATTTTTTTTATAGGCATCGGTAATTGATTATGTGAAACCTTCCGATTTAAAAAAAGAATTGAATGATAAGTTTAAGGAAAAGTTTCCACATATAGAACTAACGCTCAGTAAATTACGTAGGTATGTATTGTAACATTATTGTGTGGTAACATTATTTTCCGACACCCTATATAATATATCTTAAAAGGGATGTGAATATTTTCTGATTAATTTAAACTTATAGTTTAAAACGAGAGATGCGAAAGATAGCAAAGACAGAGTATGGCATTGATATGTTGACTGTGGCGATGGCTTACGTATACTTTGAAAAATTAATTCTTCGTAATATTGTGACCAAACAAACCCGCAAATTGTGCGCAGGTGCTTGTTTACTTCTTGCAGCAAAATTAAATGATGTTAAAGGCGATGTTTTAAAATCGTTGATCGAGGTACTTATTTTTATTGGTAAATTTATAATCGTTCGTTTATTAATAATTGATCTTAAAACATTTTACAGAGGATAGAAAGTGTATTTCGCTTGAATCGTAAGGATCTGATAACATCTGAATTTGCTGTACTCGTCGCATTAGAATTTGGCTTACACCTTCCAAATTGGGAAATATTTCCTCATTATCAACGTTTGATATACGAATCTTGACCTTCCTTTCCATCCTTCTTCGTACAAAGACGTCAAACATTATCTTCTTAATCGTGCAAGAAGTTGAAGATAAATATCGAAGCTAACAAATATCGATCCTCGCTAATGTTGAATATAAGTAAAGCAGAAAGAAATGTGAGTTGAATTTTTAAAAAAAGAACATTGGTGGATGTTTAATGATAAAGCGCTAAGTATGAAAATTATATGCAATGTGATATAAGATTAAAATAGAAATAAATCATACATCTTCATTTTTACTAATACATAAATCTGAGAAAGAGCTTGCAAATTTAAATCGTTTTAATAAATTAAAAACGAAAGAAAGATATTCTTATAGAGAGAAAGAAGACAATATAAGTTGGGCTCAATATTTTATTTCTTATTTTATAATCATATTGTGGCAATATGAATTTATTTTTCTACGCATAGTATAATTATTCATAAAAGCAAAAAAGGCATAAAAGAGACAAATGAGAAACTCTTTGAGTTGCATTTTAGTGAAGCTCAAAAAATATAAGAAATTCGATGTTATTATATAATGAAACAATATTAGAACATGCATTTGAGTTTTTTTTTTAAAATTCAAGGTTATTATTATACAATTATGATTAAGATAATATCGAAATAAGCACAATACAAGTCTTGTTGATACAGTCCTAATTACTATTTTATTATTTACAATGATTTATTTTTAACTCAAAGCTTGATTATTATATAATTATAATAACCTTATTTTGTGTGCTTTTAACTGTTTTAGTGATAGATGAAATATTTTAATGAAATATTTTATTTCTTATTTCAAATTTAAACAGTAACTTTAATGTTTTATGCAATTTTAAAGTTTCCTCATAAATGTAATAGATTAAACATGATTAAAAAACTTGTATAATTTAAATTTAATAAGAGATGAAGATCTTAGTTTGATTTAAATATTTTTTATTTTACCAGATCTGTATGTATTATCTTGATCATCAAATTAAATTATTTCAAATTACATACCATATGTTTATGCACATAAAAGATAGTGTTAACTATTAAATTTATTATCGTATAAATCTAAAATACACATTCTACTACTAATTGTAAGATTAATTCAAGATTATAGCAGCGAATTCACCTAAATGCGATGAACAACAAATATGGAATTTGATATATATAAAGAAACTAAAGAAATGTCTTTAATAATGCCTGATATCTATCTATTAATGCCTTCACTCATAAAAATGGTAAAAATACTTACGCGCGTAATTCAGATTTTATTAATATTGGTTTTTATTATTTTCTCGTACTCTTGTAATTTCAATGATATTTCAGTGGATCATCTTAAATGACATACTGTGTATATTTTATATTGTTTTGCTATGAATATGTTTTACCAATAGTTAACTATTTATAATATTTTATCTAAATATATCATTTTCACACGTTTAACACTGTTTATAAAGTTCTTTTATCATTGCCTTATATTTGTTAAAAGAACAACATTGTGTATATTTATGGAATAGTATAAAAAATTACAATTGTGCGAAGTGCTGTATGTATAATTATAATATAATTCCATTAAAAAGAATTTTTAAAAAGCGGTTATTGATATTTTTTGAAGATGCTAATTGGAAAATAAAATACTTATTTTTAGAATATTGTATGTGTTAATATGTACATTTCATGCTTTTTAAATATTTATATCAATTTATATAGATATAATTGAAACCAACGTGACAGATATTAATCATTTTAGTTACCTAATTATTAAGTATAAATATATTTTTTTTGGACTTGTATCTATTGATGTGAGTGAATCAATAACTATTACCGCTTCCGACATTTTTTAATTAACGAAAGTTGTAGAAATGATTGTTTGACAAAACTTAAACTATATAGAAGGGACCATGATACGATGATGACAACGATTTTTTGTTAAGTTTTCATTTCGTTAATGAAGACATTTTTTTCTAATTTTCATAGTTTTGCATATTTAAGATGGTAATAGTTATTGAACTATTCTCCATATAACAATCTAAAATTATGTAAATATATTAGATAATATAGGTATATGTCATATTCGTGTATTTCTATGTGTATCGTATTTCGTCAAGATACAACTTTCGTAAAACATTACATTTCTTTAGTTTTAAACAAACTTATTATAAAGTAAGTTTATGTATATGTATATATAATCTATTTATATAAAAAAATATGATAATACAAAGAGAATACACCCTGTTAAAGAGGCATG